GCACTTGATCAATCCACGCTAATTATGTAATTTTTTTCCCAAAACCAAAACAAAGTAATAAAAAGTAAATTCTCTTCGACTAATGCAATGGTTTTATAAAGGGAAGTAATTGTGTTTTCCTAATTTATCAAAGGGAAGTAAGTGCTTTAGGACTAAATAAAGACATAATTAGAATTTTTGTAAAAGATGATATTTTTTTAAAACTTGTGTTTATTGAACATGCCGAAAATTATTACTTTCAGTGTGATAAATGAAAACTATTTCCCATATATTAAATTTTTAACTCATAAATTTAGACCATATATATATATATATATATATATATATATATATATTTATATATATATATATATATATATATATATATATATATATATATATATATATATATATATATAATGCTTGTACCAATGTTTTAGTGGGAATCTACAAATTATCAAATGGATGATTGTAGAAAAGAGAGATGTTTGTGAAGTGAGATGTGACTTTTTATAACGATGAGAGGATGGAAGTATGTTAATTTATGGTTGTGTAGTGGATCTTAAAGCCGCGGAGCAGGGAGCTGTGGAGCAGGGAGCTGTGGAGCAGGAAGCTGTGGAGCTGTGGAGCAGGAAGCTGTGGAGCAGGGAGCTGTGGAGCAGGGAGCTGTGGAGCTGGGAACTGTGGAGCTGTGAGCTGTGGAGCTGTGGAGCAGGGTGCTGTGGAGCAGGGAGATGTGGAGCAGGGAGCTGTGGAGCAGGGTGCTGTGGAGCAGGGAGCTGTGGAGCAGGGTGCTGTGGAGCAGGGAGCTGTGGAGCAGGGAGATGTGGAGCTGGGAGCTGTGGAGCTGTGAGCTGTGGAGCTGTGGAGCAGGGAGCTGTGGAGCAGGGAGCTGTGGAGCAGGGAGATGTGGAGCAGGGAGCTGTGGAGCAGGGAGATGTGGAGCTGGGAGCCGTGGAGCAGGGAGCTGTGGAGCAGGGAGCTGTGGAGCAGGGAACTGTGGAGCTGTGGAGCAGGGAGATGTGGAGCAGAGAGCTGTGGAGCAGGGAACTGTGGAGCTGTGAGCTGTGGAGCAGGGAGCTGTGGAGCTGGGAGCCGTGGAGCTGGGAGCAGTGGGCAAGGAGATGTGGAGCATGGAGCTGTGGAGCAGGGAGCTGGGAGCTGTGAAGCAGGGAGCTGTGGAGCAGGGAGCTGTGGAGTAGGGAGATGTGGAGCAGGGAGCTGTGGAGCAGGGAGCTGGGAGATGTGGAGCAGGGAGCTGTGGAGCAGGGAGCTGTGGAGCAGGGAGCTGTGGAGCTGTGGAGCTGTGGAGTGGTGCAGGGAGCTGTGGAGTAGGGAGATGTGGAGCAGGGAGCTGTGGAGCAGGGAGCTGGGAGATGTGGAGCAGGGAGCTGTGGAGCAGGGAGCTGTGGAGCTGTGGAGCTGTGGAGCAGGGAGCTGTGGAGCTGGGAGCCGTGGAGCAGGGAGCTGTGGGGTAGGGAGCTGTGAGGCAGGGAGCTGTGAGGCAGATATTTCTTACTTTAAATTTAACCCAAAACGCTGTTACGAATTCCTGGGTTAAAAAGACCACAAAACGGATGATGTCAGACACAAGTTATTTAAAAAACAAAAGAAAAAAAACTGACCTAAATTAGTTAGCATTCTATCCTCAAAGCTCACATCTTTAGACGGACATGTCACCCTGTTTTCCACATGTTCTTCGTTGTTTCCTCGTATAAAAGCGAGAAGTTTTCTAACACGTTTCATAATCTGCTCCACAGGAACATCAACACGTAACAAATGTTAATAACTGCCGCAGTCACATAATTCGTTCCGTGGCTGAATGAAGAAATATGTTCCCAAACAGACCTACCACAGTTTTATTTAAGAACAAATAATTATTTTTAAACAAAACCTTCCTGTGCGATCAAGCTACATAATAAAGATAGCGTCGGACTGGCCCATAGACCTGAAGTACGATAGATGTTTGAATGTGGGTCAAATCCGGGAAGAAATCAAAGGGAATTTCCGAAAGTGGGAGGCGGAGTGTCGACGATTCTATAACTAGCAGTTGCGTTGTGTTCCCGATGCATAATAGTTAGAATAGTGGTGCAATATTTTTTACCTCAATTTTTTTGTATGAAAATGGTTTCCAATTTTTAAAACAGGCCTGCTCAATATACAAAACTTTTCAAACGCATCTGTTAATTTCTTTTATTGTACTTAAACGTAGAAAGTAATTTACTTGTGTAATAGGCCTCATGTAAACTTTGTATTTTCAATCGGTAACATCCGATTTTTATCTTCAGCTCTTTACAGAAGGGTTTAAAGTTATTTAAACATGGCAGCCATTTTTCCTGGTCAAATGGTTGGAATAAGCCTCATCCCCCAGGGGAAAGAGTCACACAGCCGCGCGTCGTACGTAAGGGGGAGGGGGTGGGTACACTCCTCAGAGGATGTAAGCCTCCCTCCACCCCGTTTACCCTAGAGGATGCCCCGCCACCCCTCACTTTTATTTTCGTGAGGACACCCCCATGGCGCTTCTTGTAACCCCAGGGGAAATAAATATCCAGTAATGTCAAGTACCCTATGGAGCTCTAAATGTGTACAACATTACCCACTCAGGGAATCTAAATGTGGGCGCCTGTTAGTGAAAGCTATTTACCAAATCTAGCCCTCAACAAATCAGCCAATAGTTACTTGACCTGTACTTAAGTGTGATTTTATCTCTGCTGCAGTCAGTCTTTAGTATCACCCCATGTCCTCAGTTGATGAAGATGGTTGCACTTCACAGATTCTCTCCCGTTATAGCATTCAAATAGTCCAAGGGAAAATAATCTCTTTAAAAATGCTTAACATAATTGTATCCTAAGTTTTCAAATTTAGAACTATCTAAAAAAAAAAAACTAAATAGGGTGGGGGCTAAAGGATGGGGCCACCCTTTGCAAAGTGTTGCCCCCCCCCCCCCCCAGGGTGCTAACTGTAGCAATCAACAGCAACACAAAACATTTAATTAATTGAACAAGATGAGACAATGTTAGGGATTTGTTTATTCACAGACTCCATGGTATGCAATAACAGGAATGTTTTAAAACCAGCAAACAATAAATTAATCAAAGCTTGAACATCGTGGCTAGATTAGTAGACATGTCAAATCTAGTGTCAAATGGCTACAGAAGTTACATCAAACTGAGCACCCACTATTAGTTTTCATCTGATACACAAAATCTAAAATACAAAGCTGTTTAACATTAGAATAAAAACAAATTGTCATCATAATATCATTTTTAATTAGTACTTAATATTTAAAAGCAAAAGTCATAGATGAGTTTTAGTGGTGGTGCAAATTCATTGAAAACAAAAGCCAGAGAGTGACCACCATCTCCCCATCTGATGACTGTGCTGGAAGATGAGTGAAACAAAATGAAGCAGGGAAATAAAAAAGTTATTTTGTAAAACCAAATTTGGGTGAGAGAATAATTATTGCACTGGAAGAAAAAAGTGGTTAATATGGAAGTGGTTTACATATGGTGGCCTTATATGAAGCACTACAACATTAGTGCCGTTGTAAATAAGTTTCTTACAACAAAATCATCCATTTATTCTTTACATAAGTACATACACTCATTAAGTACTTGGCTATGGTTCAATTAAAATTTAGAGTTTTAAATTGACTGTTTCTAGACTTTAATGTAAATACAGATGATAAGCACTTTTACATTTCTTTTAAAACAAAATTTACTTCATAAGAAAACAGGGACTAAAGCAAGAAAAGTGTATTTAAAAAAGGAAAAAAAAAATCTCACATGGTCTAGTAAAATATCAAGTGTCAAACTTGACAGAGACTCTTTGATCAAATGACAAACTTGACAGAGACTCTTTGATTGAGTGTCAAACTTGACAGAGACTCTTTGATCGAGTGTCAAACTTGATAGAGTGGCTACTATCAACAGAATTATTCCTCATATCACATCTATTGAATAGACACAACCCATTTTAATTGCATTGTTTTAAAAAATGAGTCAAATTAATGAGCAACTGATTATAAAAATACAAGTAAAAAGTGTCTTTAAAAATACTGAGTGTTTAAAAAATAGTGGACAGTCAAAAAACTGAAAGTAAAAAAATCTTTCCAGTTTTTTGTTGTAAATATTATCATACAATGTATAATATACAATCTTGTGGGGCAGCTCTAGACAGTTGTTGACAACTGTGTTAGACATGCCCAAACCCTATCAGATGTATGTAAAAGGTCATACAACCCTTAAAAATGTATAAATCAAGAGCAGACAACCCATACTGATTTACCAAGCAGTAGTGACAGAGTTGTCCCACATGAAATATGTTTACACTTCTGCAAGACATGATTTGAAAATGGTGAACTTGTATCTCCCCACACCCAAGGATGAGCTGAAAGAAACTTTTATAAATAACAAAGTTATGGCACAAAAACAGTAGATTTGTTCAATCTAATTTGTTTTTAAACAAGTCTACTCAATGTTTGTAATGAGCTCAATAAATATCTACAAACTACCTACTTATCAACATTACAGTAAAGTAAGAAAAACATACGGTTATGTACAAACAATGTATTTAAAGCCGCAACATTTGATACAACCAAACCTCACTGGGCAGTTTAAAATAACATGTACTCTACAGAGTTACAAGGTGATCTGACATTGATTTTATGGAAGTCAGACTTGATAAAATTACATTATAGTTCAAGCTTACAAATAATGTAATAGGTGAGTAATTTTGTCTGAATATTAAAGCAGTTCCACCAGTTATGTGGTCTCAACTACCACCAGTCCACCAATCCTGTGGTCCATCAGTCCACCAGTCCTGTGGTCCATCAGTCCACCAGTTCAGTGGTCCATCAGTCCACCAGTCCTGTGGTCCATCAGTCCACCAGTTCAGTGGTCTCATCCACCAGTCCTGTGGTCCATCAGTCCACCAGTCCTGTGGTCCATCAGTCCACCATGTCAGTGGTCCATCAGTCCACCAGTCCTGTGGTCCATCAGTCCACCTGTCCCATCAGTCCATCAGTCCACCATATCAGAGGTCTCATCCACCAGTCCACTACTCTGCTGGTCTCTGAGGGCAGTGATAAGTTTGTCCACCAAGACCGAGAGAACTTTATCCAAGGGGTCCATGAATCCTCGCTGCACCCACTTGGGTATGGTGACCCTTGCGTGAGAGAACCCCAGCTTTTGTAGCACGTAGTCCGCCCCCACTGGGTCGATCTGAGTACTGGCCCAGTGAATCAACCTACAGAAACAATTTTATGCTGAATCAACCTACAAAAACAATTTTATGCTGAATCAACCTACAGAAACAATTTTATGCTGAATCAACCTACAAAAACAATTTTATGCTGAATCAACCTACAGAAACAATTTTATGCTGAATCAACCTACAAAAACAATTTTATGCTGAATCAACCTACAAAAACAATTTTATGCTAAATCAACCTACAGAAACAAGTTTATGCTGAATCAACCTACAAAAACAATTTTATGCTGAATCAACCTACAGAAACAATTTTATGCTGAATCAACCTACAGAAACAATTTTATGCTGAATCAACCTACAAAAACAATTTTATGCTGAATCAACCTACAGAAACAATTTTATGCTGAATCAACCTACAAAAACAATTTTATGCTGAATCAACCTACAGAAACAATTTTATGCTGAATCAACCTACAAAAACAATTTTATGCTGAATCAACCTACAGAAACAATTTTATGCTGAATCAACCTACAGAAACAATTTTATGCTGAATCAACCTACAAAAACAATTTTATGCTGAATCAACCTACAAAAACAATTTTATGCTGAATCAACCTACAGGAACAATTTTATGCTGAATCAACCTACAAAAACAATTTTATGCTAAATCAACCTATAAAAACAATTTTTATGCTGAATCAACCTACAGAAACAATTTTATGCTGAATCAACCTACAGAAACAATTTTATGCTGAATCAACCTACAAAAACAATTTTATGCTGAATCAACCTACAGAAACAATTTTATGCTGAATCAACCTACAAAAACAATTTTATGCTGAATCAACCTACAGGAACAATTTTATGCTGAATCAACCTACAAAAACAATTTTATGCTAAATCAACCTATAAAAACAATTTTTATGCTGAATCAACCTACAGAAACAATTTTATGCTGAATCAACCTATAAAAACAATTTTTATGCACCCCAATTAACATCAAATTTTTATAATCAAATTATTTTTCCTCTCTAGCATGCAACAAATATAATCCTAACCAGATAAAAATATAGATTGAAGAGAAAATAAAACTCCTTGAAGTGGAGAGTGCCTATAATGTGTTCCATGCCCCCCCCCCCCCCCCCCACCAAATTAGCCTAGGTTTACCTGAGGGTAGGTTCCAGCTGCCATGTCTTACATTCAAAAGTCCTGTAGTCGTGTTTTAATGCTGAGGTAGGATCAGACAGTTTAGAGTCAGATTTTCCAAGTTTGGCAGCGGACGCTCGCCCCATAGATCCTGGAAAGTTACAGCCATTACAGTATCTATGTATAACCATTACAAGATGTTCTATGTGTAACCATTTTAAGAAATTATATGTGTAACCATTACAAGAAGTTGTATTTATAACCACTATAAGAAGTTGTATGTATAACCATTACAAGAACTAGTATAAAGACAAAGAACCTTTGAACAAAGTACAAAAAGTAAATGCAGATATTTAAGACAATGTGTACCTCTGTCTTTCTCCCTGATATATGAAGAGACCAAGTCATGTAGGAAGAGAATAACTTCAGCATCCATGGCCACGTAGATATGGTCGTAGAACTCTGCTATAAAGCTGCACTCTACCGCAGGGCGCGCCTCTGTGAAAAGTACAATGTTAGGTTATAGGCAATATAAAATACAGGTGAGTTAGCCTACTGACCAATGTTAGGTTATAGACAATATAAAATACAGGAAAGTTAGCCTACTGAACAATGTAAGGTTATAGGCAATATAAAATACAGGAAAGTTAGCCTACTGAACAATGTAAGGTTATAGGCAATATAAAATACATTGAGTTAGCCTACTGAACAATGTAAGGTTATAGGCAATATAAAATACAGGAAAGTTAGCCTACTGAACAATGTAAGGTTGTAGGCAATATAAAATACAGGAAAGTTAGCCTACTGAACAATGTAAGGTTATAGGCAATATAAAATACAGGAAAGTTAGCCTACTGAACAATGTAAGGTTGTAGGCAATATAAAATACAGGAAAGTTAGCCTACTGAACAATGTAAGGTTATAGGCAATATAAAATACAGGAAAGTTAGCCTACTGAACAATGTAAGGTTATAGGCAATATAAAATACAGGAAAGTTAGCCTAATGACCAATGTTAGGTTATAGACGGCTCCCGGTCAAAAACCCCCTGGACATAAACCCCCTGGACATAAACCCCCCGACATAAACCCCCTGGACAAAAACCCCCTGCGACATAAACCCCCTGGACAAAAACCCCCCGCGATATAAACCCCCTGGACAAAAACCCCCCGCGATATAAACCCCCTGGACAAAAACCCCCCAATTGAGGTTTATATATGGAAAAACCAAAGATGACGAGAAACACAATTAATATAAAAATACAAAACAAACATTAGGAAAAATCTTTTATTTTTATTATAACTTTAAAAAGACAGATTGTGAGCGATGCCTCGCAAATACTCAATAATGGTGAACTCATTAAAATTTTTTTTTGGCAACATCCCATATGCGACTGAAAACTTCTGTGCCAGCCTTCAACTGAGTTGTTTGTTTTTGGCATATGGTCTTCTGCACGTGTGTGCATGTTCCACATGTCAAGTAGAAACATAGGTTGTCTTCGACCTCGACGTTGTGGTCTGCCTTGGCATCTCCACTAATCGAAGTAATGGACTGAGTGATGATCTGCTGGGGTGTTGCTTCCGTTTCTTCTGCCAGTTGTTTCATCTGCTGCACTACTTTACACACTTCCAGTTGAGATGGATCTGGTCCATGCGAATGTTCATTACATCGTCCAACAAGCTGTTCACCATGAATCTTTATTTTAGCTTTGCATTCTGCCTTGTTGCGTCTTTTGGAACACTCAAATGACACAACGCCGTTCGCCAGATCTTTTTGCTTGACATAAACATAGCCTTCAAAAATTACCTTTAAATTTCCTTTATTGGATTGAACGAACTCCATTCCAGAAAATATACGATTTGTCGAGAAATAAATTTGATTTTATATTTATACCATGGTTCTGTATGCCAAGGTGGATATGAACCAAGCTTCCGCCTGTGAATCCCTCACATCTTTTGAATTGTTCAGAATGTGTTGCTTTGATCCGCACGGCTCCCACATGTGAATGACCTATATCTAAGGTGTTGTCGGTGCCCGATCTTTGATCAAATACAACTAAGGTCACTCCTTGATTTCGAAAAGCATTTTTTTTAGGTAGAAACTATTTTCTTAGTCGTAAAAAATTAAATTAATTTAATGTAATTTTTTTAAATTTCTTGGTTCACATCATCGTTATTTTTTCTTTATATAAACCTCAGTCCGGGGGTTATTATCCGGGGGGTTTATATCTCGGGGGGTTTTTGTCCAGGGGGTTTATGTCGCGGGGGGGTTTTGTCCAGGGGGTTTATGTCGCGGGGGGTTTTTGTCCAGGGGGTTTATGTCGGGGGGTTTATGTCCAGGGGGTTTTTGTCCAGGGGGTTTTTGACCGGACACCGTTATAGACAATATAAAATACAGGAAAGTTAGCCAAAAGAAAACCAGTTTACCGTTGTCTTCAGGTGGCTTATCCCCCTGGAAGTGTGAAGTCTTGAGGTTCATGTACATGGAGGGGAAGGCAAAGATCACCTCCGTCTCATGGTTGTAGTAGGTGGGCTTGACTTTGCTCAACTTGCGCCCGCTGTCATCTTCTGAACGCACCCCGGGGAACTCCGACACCACTGGGGAGTTGTTCAAGTTACATTACACTGTCAATATTCAACTGATACTAAGAAGTTTTCCAGAATGTAAAGGCAATGTTTTTTTTAAACAGCTAACATAACAAATACATTTTTCATTATCCATATTTATTTTGATACATTTGAAAATCTGCTTCTTTATTTCTTTAACAAGGTAACGGTGCTGACCTTTGGTGTCTGTGGCTGATGAGGTCATGGCGTAGGTGAACCACTCGTCCACTGAGGTGAAGTTGGGAGGCATGTGCTGGGTGCGGGAAATCTTGCAGATGGTGGCCATGTGGTTCTGGATGGCCTGCGGGGACGTGACCCCCGTGGATTGTGTCCCCTGTTGCTGGCCCACAATAAACTGTAGGTCCTGTATGATGTGGGTCCCTGAAAAAAGAAGTGGTTGTCATGGCAACGTACTGCTTCTAATGCCCAACATTATATGGTGACTGGCCTTTGCTGAACTGTACCGAATTAGCTGATATATCATTGACTGAGTCCAGTAAGAAAGAATGAAATATGATTGATTTTGTAAAACCCATTATTATAGAGGGTGTAATTGTATTCTATACAGTGCTTGTTTTTTATTTCACTGGTAACATGTACAATAAGTATTCTTAAGAGGGTGGGGGGGGGGGGGTTAAAAATGGATATTTTATTTCTGGGTAATTACTTTATGAAATGTTAATGCAACTTTATACTGTCAGTAATCACATAGGACGTATCCAATGTGAATGTAACTTTTTAATGTTACTGATACACTTGAATGTATCCAATGTGAATGTAGCTTTGTACTGTCACTGACCCACTAGAGTGTATCCAATGTGAATGCAGCTTTGTACAGTCACTGACCCACTAGAGTGTATTCCATGTGAATGCAGCTTTGTAACGTCACTGACCCACTAGAGTGTATCCCATGTGAATGCAGCTTTGTACTGTCACTGACCCACTAGAATGTATCACATGTGAATGCAGCTTTGTACAGTCACTGACCCACTAGAATGTATCACATGTGAATGCAGCTTTGTACAGTCACTGACCCACTAGAGTGTATCCCATGTGAATGCAGCTTTGTACTGACCTCCCTCTGGAATTTTCTGTGCCTCCGTAGAGAAGAAGATGTACGGCTCCTTGATGTTGAACAAAGCCCAGTACTTGGCACGGAAGTTGACACCATGGAATGAGGCCAGCATCAGACCTTGACCTTCCAGGGTCATGGTGCCCCCGAGTACAGTGCCCTCTGGTGGCAGGACAGTGGGCAGCATGGAGAAGTGATAGCCCATCAAATGTTCCAGAGCCCCCTGCCAGTGGCGGTGGTGGCGCAGCTCATCCATCACAGCTGGGGAGGGTGTAGGCCAATACAGAACATGCAGTGTGGACAGTTTGGAGATAAAAAGTGAAGTTACCCTTTTATACATGGCAGTCAATGTGATGGATGAAGTAGAGTTCACTCGTTTATGTGACCTGACAATAGTGTTGTCAGCAATGTGCTTAGCTGCCTCTACAATCCCCACATGAGTTAAGTAACCATCAGAGGTATCATATAACCACACCATACCCATTTTAGAGAGATTCACACTATTGAGCATTCAATTAATAAAATAATTAGGATCAATTCTCTGTATGAATTAAATAATGATTTCACAGATTATAAAATGTATTCTTCCTGAATATCAAATCAATAGATACTTTTTATCTGTTCTAAATAATATTTTTTTTTTTAATCTGAAAATTAAAAACAAATTAATGACTATAATGGTTTTAAAATCTAGATCCTTTTAACTTTTTATCAAGGTAAAGAACCTCAGTTTTAACACAGATGAATGGTACATTCAATTCATTTCAATTAAAATACTCGTTTTTTTTCTAGTTTATAGATTATATTGACAAGCAAGATGTGATCAAGACAAAAAGAGTTTTACCACTTTCAGAAATTTTCCTCTGGACCTTGGGAGGAGCAGAGGGAGGGAAAGCTGTGGTGGGCTGGAAGACACGTCTGCTGCTCATCACCTGCTGGGTGAAGAACTCGTCCAGCTTGGAGATGATCTTGATGAGGTCAGGGGTCGTGGAGCGTGAGATCATCAAGTGGAAGTGTGACCAGGACAATTTGCCATTGACAAACAGGAAAGCTGACCTGGGGAGGAGGGAATTTGTTTTTTACAGGCATATGTGGATGATAAGTAGTAGCTGCTCAGAGATTAGTAAGAATTTTTACAATATGTTACATTTCATACATTTCACTATCAGGTTTTCTATAAATATCTTACATTCATACAAGGGTAATTTTGGTGTGTAATTTTTGTAAGCAGTGTGTAAGTTACATAACTCATGCAAATTGTGTTGTAGCATTAGTGTTTCTCACCTGTTGGTGGCCAGGGGTGGGTTTGTTCAACTCACCTGTTGGTGGCCAGGGGTGGGTTTGTTCAACTCACCTGTTGGTGGCCAGGGGTGGGTTTGTTCAACTCACCTGTTGGTGGCCAGGGGTGGGTTTGTTCAACTCACCTGTTGGTGGCCAGGGGTGGGTTTGTTCAACTCACCTGTTGGTGGCCAGGGGTGGGTTTGTTCTACTCACCTGTTGGTGGCCAGGGGTGGGTTTGTTCAACTCACCTGTTGGTGGCCAGGGGTGCATCAGTGTTAGAGTTGGTCTCTACATGCCACTCATCCTTCAGCAGCAGCTGGAGGTTGCTGAGCCTGGTCATGATGATGGAGGAGCCCATGTAGTCAATCTTGGTCTCTAGCGCCGAGCTGCTCAGTCCAGCCTGGTGGTCAGGGTCTTGTCCTAGTTCAGGGTCCTCACACACAGAGACTTAAAGAAAAAATTGTCCTAGTTCAGGGTCCTCACACACAGAGACTTAAAGAAAAAAATTGTCCTAGTTCAGGGTCCTCACACACAGAGACTTAAAGAAAGAAATTGTCCTAGTTCAGGGTCCTCACACACAGAGACATAAAAGAATTATGGTTGTTGTAAGGTGCAAAATTCCATATGTAATTCAAGAAAACATCAGTAGCCATTTAATAGATATAATTACAGGGTACATCACAATGAGACAGGCAACTTAGACAAGACAATAGTAGCCTTCATGCTGACCAGTGGCCAGGGTTGTTGGAGCCAGGGGGGATAATTTGTAAGGTCACACGTTTTAGTCTCATCCAGTGGAAATAGCTTGGAGGATAGGATGTAGTTATAATTACAGGTGGGTCTGAGATTCACATTCTCTTTCGACAATCTGACTAATAAACAGCAGCAACTAAGAAAGTCCCCTGTCCTACTTGTATTATGTACTGTGCTTGATTATGATAACACAATTAAATACCCCTAGATAACGAGGGCCTTTTTAGCTAGTGCCCTAGTCAGCGCCAGCAACGTATTAAGCCGTGACAAAGCACCGGACTGCAGCATAGCAGTTTGGCCCGCAACAGCTGGGTCCAAGTAGTAACATGTGATCAACATACACATCTACCACTGTACTCAACAGAATGGTGTAGCAAGGATGATGGTGTAGGAAGGATGATTGGTGTAGGAAGGATGAATGGTGTAGCAAGGATGAATGGGGTAGCAAGGAGAAATGGTGTAGCAAGGATGAATGGTGTAGCAAGGATGAATGGTGTAGCAAGGATGAATGGTGTAGCAAGGATGAATGGTGTAGCAAGGATGAATGGTGTAGCAAGGATGATGGTGTAGCAAGGATGATGGTGTAGCAAGGATGAGAGGCCACTTACAGAAACCACTGAGGTTGTTGACCTCAATGTTTCCTCCCACAACTCCACCTTTGGACTCAAAGACAGACTTGCCAAAGCCAGCATCAATGTTGAGATTTTTGTGACCACTGCTGTTGATTGATAGTCTCCCTTGGGTCTTCAAAGCTTTGGTTTTCCATCTGTGAAGAAATGGAAAAAAAATGTGTTAGTTTTATTTCCTGATATATCAACATTTAAAGCATAACATTGCTGATTTCTGACAGAGTAAAGCAAAATAATTAACCACTAAATATATACAATCTTTTTTTAGACTCATCACTGAAAATAATTGAATATCAATAAGTTTATTTTTAGTGACCTCATGACATCCCCATGACGTTGGCCATGTTCACTTCCAGGTTGAGCTGGGGCCATGTTATGTTGGGCCATGAGATGACAACAACAACCTAACTGACTCTGTGTTCCCCATGACGTTGGCCATGTTCACTTCCAGGTTGAGCTGGGCCATGTTATGTTGGGCCATGTTATGTTGGGCCATGTTATGTTGGGCCATGAGATGACAAAAAAAAAACTTACTCTGTGTTCCCCATGACGTTGGCCATGTTCACTTCCAGGTTGAGCTGGGCCATGTTATGTTGGGCCATGTTATGTTGGGCCATGAGATGACAAAAAAAAAACTTACTCTGTGTTCCCCATGACGTTGGCCATGTTCACTTCCAGGTTGAGCTGGGCCATGAGATGACACAAAAAAAAACTTACTCTGTGTTCCCCATGACGTTGGCCATGTTCACTTCCAGGTTGAGCTGGGCCATGTTATGTTGGGCCATGTTATGTTGGGCCATGAGATGACAAAAAAAAAACTTACTCTGTGTTCCCCATGACGTTGGCCATGTTCACTTCCAGGTTGAGCTGGGCCATGAGATGACACAAAAAAAAACTTACTCTGTGTTCCCCATGACATTGGCCATGTTCACTTCCAGGTTGAGCTGGGCCATGTTATGTTGGGCCATGAGATGACAACAACAACCTAACTTACTCTGTGTTCCCCATGCCGTTGGCCATGTTATGTTGGGCCATGTTAAGGTGGGCCATGTTAAGTTGGGGCAATGTTATGTTGGGCCATGTTAAGGTGGGCCATGTTAAGTTGGGGCAATGTTATGTTGGGCCATGAGATGACAACAACAACCTAACTTACTCTGTGTTACCCATGACGTTGGCCATGTTCACTTCCAGGTTGAGCTGGGCCATGTTATGTTGGGCCATGAGATGACAACAACAACCTAACTTACTCTGTGTTACCCATGACGTTGGCCATGTTCACTTCCAGGTTGAGCTGGGCCATGTTATGTTGGGCCATGAGATGACAACAACAACCTAACTTACTCTGTGTTACCCATGACGTTGGCCATGTTCACTTCCAGGTTGAGCTGGGCCATGTTATGTTGGGCCATGAGATGACAACAACAACCTAACTTACTCTGTGTTCCCTATGACGTTGGCCATGTTCACTTCCAGGTTGAGCTGGGCCATGAGATGACAACAACAACCTAACTTACTCTGTGTTACCCATGACGTTGGCCATGTTCACTTCCAGGTTGAGCTGGGCCATGAGATGACAACAACAACCTAACTTACTCTGTGTTACCCATGACGTTGGCCATGTTCACTTCCAGGTTGAGCTGGGCCATGAGATGACAACAACAACCTAACTTACTCTGTGTTACCCATGACGTTGGCCATGTTCACTTCCAGGTTGAGCTGGGCCATGAGATGACAACAACAACCTAACTTACTCTGTGTTACCCATGACGTTGGCCATGTTCACTTCCAGATTGAGCTGGGCCAAGTTGACCACAAAAAGCACCAAGGTCTCCCAGGAGCTGCTGACATTGGGTGTGGAGGAGGGTGAGGTCAGGGAGGTGTTGGACATGATGCCGCCAGCAATGCTGTGTCTGTGGCGGGCTGGCATGTCAGGGGAGGAGATGGTCCTGGACTTCTTGCGGTGACCAGACGACTCCCTGCTGGGTAGGTCCCCATGTGGGTGGTGGGACCTAGACAAGTTACGACCTGACACGAGGTGGAAACATTTAACAAGTGCGTAAATAGATTCTGTCTTGAAAAATTTAAGACATTTTATATTATTTTTTTATAGAAAGTAAAATTAAACTGTTATAAATTTTTGCCAGCAATCTTTTATTATCAGACATACTTTACTTTAAAATGAGCTAAGGAAAACATTTACAAACTGTAAAACTATTAATGCTGGATATTATTTAGCTAAATACTTTTCCTGAGTACCAGAGATTTACATTAATTTCAGTTAAATCTAGAATTTAGATCTAGTAGTTTAAAAGTTTTTTCTGCCATGAATATCTTTTAATAATCTAAATTAATTTAATTAATAAATGTTTATCTAATCTCTATTAATAAATGTTTTTAACTACTGTTATCTATCAAGAGGTGCAGATCACAAGAAGTGCTGAAGTTTGGAATCCTACAGCAAATAGTTCACAAATTCTTCTATCTACATAGATCTATAGTGTCCATGCATGCCAGATAAAACAAAGAACACAAGAATCAAATTATTAAAATAATCTAAAAGCCAGACCAAAAGTGATGCATGCATTATATAACACATTAAACCGTTTCTCTTACAACGAAGAAAAATTGACTTCGATTTTTTTTTTTAATGCATTTTGATAGTATTTTTGTTCGGCATACTTTTGTAAAAGTGTCAGTTTATAAAATTTACAATTATCTTTTTTAATTTAATAAATATATATTAATTATAAAACAATCAATGGATTAAAATTTTGCAGAATTTCTTAATTTAAGTGGATAAAACGGATTCACTTTCCCCACCCCACTGCTCCAGAAATTTTTTAAAAATTCCACCTTTGACTACTGCTGTCTTAAAATAAAGGATGGTTCACTCTCCCGCTCCAAAAAATAAAAAAATATCACACCTCTTCTTGTGGCTATTTCTGTCTTAAAGTCAGGGCTCAGCTGGATCCTGATTTTGTCACCTGATGAGCCACGCCTGTGGTGTTTTTTCAATGGTGTTAGGGGGTTTAACACACTGAGGGAGGGGTGGGACACAGAGTTTTGGGATGACAACAATGGATGTAATGGTTTTTCCCCAGGCAGCATGTTGAGGGAATCTGGCTCTGAAAAGGTGAATTATTAGTTGACACAAGTTTTCTTTAGCGGCTATACAGAGTCAAGATTTTGAGGGCTGAATAGTCTAATTGAGGGACAGTTCAAAGATTAGTTGAAACAAAAATTTTAGAGGCTAGACAGAGTCAAGTTAGGGGCTGAATAGTCTAGTTGAGTCAAGATTAGCAAACACAAAACTATTTTTAGCAGATAACCAGAGTTAAAGCAACCATTCAGAATATCATGCCTAAATGAAAATGTTTTCCTTTTTTCTACAAGTTTTTTTAAAATCTGTTTAAAACTAATTTAATCATGCATGACCTCTTGTCTAGCAAACAACAAAATATAATCCAATGTAATGATACACATCAACACAACAGTAAGAGCACCACTTTATAAGCTAACCACATTTACTAATGGTACACGTCTCCATACATTTTTAATGCTGTTTTATAGATTTTAAAAATACAGAAAATAAATATTTTAACCACTGTTAACATACTTATATATTTTATATGAACCAGAATGATTAACTCTATCTTATTGTTTTAATACTGAAAACATCATGTCTATTGGCTATTGTAAAGGTAACCAAATAAAGTTCACAACTGCATTTACTGAACTGATGTGTAAAATAATGACACAAATATTAGCAGACAGTAATGTGTTAACGGCAGTTCTTTCCTTGCAAATGAATGCATAGTGACTTCCATCAAAAGCAGAACTAAGTCTATCTAATGGTCTTACTTGCTAACATATTAAATGTTGCTATTAAATTTAGACTTTCTAAATCCATTTATCTCTTTATCACTGGTGCAGGTAAAACAAAACACTAAACAAGAAACTTTAATTCAATGATTTAGCTTTTATACCATGCAAATCTAGAACAGGTAACTTATTAAACAAGAAACATAATGCAGTAAAGTTGATCCTTTTGTGTCATAGTTACCTTCCCCTGCTGTTAAATTGATACTTTCATCACCAAGAAAGAGGCGTCTAGCTAAGGTTCTTCTATACCAAGCTTTTGGCAAGGAAAGGATTTCAGATAACCGCCTCATATCATATTTGAAAGATGCAGTGCCAATATCACAGATAGCTGTGGAAATGTTTACAAATAAGATCCACAAAAATAATTTGACATTATTGTCTACTTTGAATGATCTGTGGCAAAAACATGAATACCTATTTTTTAGTCTAGTTTTCTAATTACATTTTAATAAATTTAAAAAATTGTATTTGAAAACTATTTTATAAGTTTTAAAAATTTTAACAGGAAGATTTAAAATTTTACCAAATATGTTTAAAATTTTATCAAGATGGATTAAAATTTAACCAGAAAAGTTTAAAATTTTAGCAGGAAGTTTTTTAAATTTTACTATAAAGGTTTAAACTTTTACTAGAAATGTTTACATTTTTACCAGAAAAGTTTAAATTTTACCAGAAAGGTTTAAAATGAACCAGAAAAGTTTAAAATTTTACCAGAAAGGTTTAAAATGAACCAGAAAAGTTTAAAATTTAACCATAAAGGTTTAAAATGTACAGCAAAGTTTAAAGTTTAACCAGATAGGTTTAAAATGAACCAGAAAAATTTAAAATTTTACCAGAAAGGTTTAAAGGTACCAGTAAAGTTTAAAGTTTAACCATAAAGATTTTAAAATGAACCAGAAAAGTTTACCAGAAAGCCTGACAACATTAGATCTCATCTGCTGTTCTCCTTTAGCTGGGTTCTCACTGAGTTCATTGTAACGCTCCAGCTTGCGAGTGCGAGAAATGTTCACCCTGATAAACTCCACGTTGAGACTCAGGGAGTCTCTCCTGCCTAGGTCGTGGATGGCATTGGTGGTGTTTTCTGAAATACGCTCTACATACAAAAGTGTCAAAATATGAAAAATAAAGAAAAAACTCAAAAATAAACACAAACAATAAATATTTCCATCTTAGGTCAAGGTTGAACCATTTTATTAATGGTAAAAGTATAATTTTATAAATAACTTGTTTTAAAAGTGTGTTTTTTTATATAAAAGTAATTAACAAAACTATATAAAGCTAGTTTGAAAGTAATTCTGCTATTACTTTGAAAATACTACTTTTTGTCGGATGTTTGTGTGTTATAATAAAGTGCACATACCCAACTCTCCAGGACCGCGGAACAAAGGTGAGTCAGCATTGCCAGCAAACCTCCTCTGTACCCCGGTGCCGTAGGGGTGGAAGATGTAGAGGGAGAAGTCTGACATGCAGCCTGTGACACTCAAACCCCCAGAGCTGGAGCCGGGGTAGAAGCTGGACTCTGGCATGCCACTGGTGTGTCTGGCTCTAGAGGAGTGGTGGCTGCTGCTGCTGGAGTGGGTGGCGCCACTTGCTTTGTCTGGTGGGGAGATTTGGTGGTGTCACGTGGTCTAACATGGTCATATAGTGTGATGAATGGTGGTATATGGTGGTATGGGGTGGTCAAATGGTAGAGCTTAGGACTGCTGACCAAACGAAAGTGTCGAGTTTGGATCTTGGGCTCAAGTCTGTAGGAATTCCCTGAGTCCACTCAACTCTGATGGGTACCTGACATGTCTGGGAAACCAAGGTGGCTGGGCATAATGCTGACCACACTATCCCTCACATGCCGTTCACAGAAACATGTGAGTTCTACTTCATTTGTCCCATGTGTCTTGGGCACAAGCAGGAAAAAGAAGATGAAGATGGAGTTTTTATAAATTCATTAAGTGTTATACAACATGTAGAAATAAAAAGAGTAATTTTAAAAATTAACTCAAGAAATGTATATTTATATTAAATTAAAAGGTTTACTTTTGGTGGACTTTGGACTTTGAGAGCTATCATTTAGCATGCTTTCATTAACATCGGTTTTCTTGGTAGAAAAGAACAAATCAAGGGAAGGAACTTGTAGCAGACATTCAACACGTGACACTGGGTGGCAGTTGAAACGTATAAATGATGGGTCAACCTGAGGAAAATTGTGGACAGTACATCATATTTTAGGCAGTTGAACGCATAAATGATGGATCAACCTGAGAAAAATAGTGGACGTAAAATTAAATTTCATTGACACTAAAGTCTTCTTTCTGTGGGTTCATATTTGACTGCCTAAACGTCCAAGATAAAAATCAGCAGCAACCTTATGAGGATGAGACGTGAACCCCGTATGTGTGACTTACTTTAATGTGGACAACAACATCAACGGGGAAGAAAGCCATGGACTGCTGACCAAGAGATCCCTGAGAAGCATCTAGATCCATGTTGTTGACCAAACTGTCCATCATATCTGGAAGTGTGAACTCAACTTTAGCAAACTGACATTTGTTAAATTAGTAAACATTGGAAAACTGGGTGCTTAAAAATTGTGTACATCATTAAGAAGGTATTATCCGAGAAATACAAGAACAAATAAAATGTAAACCTCTTTTGAGAATTGATGGGGAAGAACTTGTGATAGGCAAGGGTTCCAGGGCTTGTTCAAGGAAGTCTAGAAATGTTGGGCTGATGATCATCTCCTGTTAGGAAAAGTTTTAAAGTCTTTATTTTGTTATATATTTTATTTGTGAAAGAAGTAAGATATGTTTTTTTTTTGTTCAAATGAGTGGTGAGCAAAGTGGTCAGTTAATTTGATATTATAACTAAAGAGAGTACAGCATATTGTATTTGTTACACAGATGAGTCTAGAATGTAGGCAATAATTGTGTATAAATTGAGGCAGTAATTTTTTATTTTTCAACAAAGAAGAGTGTTGTAAAGTAGAGAGGAAATTTTTATCTTTTCACAAAGAAGAGTGCATGATAGAGGCAGCTGATGATCCAAGTTGTGAACAAACCTCTGGCAATGTCTGTAGGGTTATCCAAGCATAGAGACTGGCCTTCTTCAGCTGACCAGACCTTCGGGGACTCCCAGAGTCCAGCGAGAGATTGGACTCCTCTTTCCCTGGGGTGTGGGGGCTGGTGATGGTGATCTCTGGAACAAATGGGTGTGGCTTGCTGGCAGTAAACAACTCTGGTTCCTCTAGTATAGTGCTGTTGGTGCACACATAGCTGGCGTGGTCTGTCTTGGAGTTGTAATGAACCTACACATGGGGTTTATCAAGAGCGGTAATTAACATATAACAAAATACAATATTGTCAAATTGTTGTTGGAATCATGTTTGAAGCCACATTCCAAAATATAGAATCAAATTAATTAATACAATGGGTTTTTAATTAATTTTTTTTACAAGTGATTTTTACATAATGCTGTCCTCATATGACTAACCTTCACAGCCACACTGGGTATGAAGAAGATAGTGGTGTCTGGGTTTAGTGAAAGTTTTCTTTGACTGGATATACTGGCACCAGAGGCTTCTTTCTTTAACTTGCGTTTTGTGTTCGGAGAAGTTTGTAGGTTTGTTTCTGTGTGTTTTTCTTTCTTTGCATACCTGAACAGGTAAAAAGCATTGAATAATTTTAAAAACAGTTTTCTTACAATAATATTATCCAAATTTTAAAAGTGCAAAATGTTTATTACAAAAATAAATAAAACTGAAGAATAAAGATCTCTGTGTGACACCCATGTTTTTGTTTGCTAACTTAACAATAACAGTATTAGCCCACAGCAGCTCATTCAAGTAGAAAAAAAAGTTTCTCACTTTCTGACTTCTTCTTCTTTAGCTTCTTTTGGATAGAGGACACATTTTCCACTGTCAATAAAAACTTTGACATCAAGTTCAAAGTCAATATTTTGTTCAGCCAACTTGTTGGAGGAGATAGAGCTTGTGTCCTCAGACTTTTTCTTCCTGCAGGGGAAATTCATGGGCACTTTTAGTTGCAGGGTTGGTGAGGGGTTATAAGTCCTGATTAAACATTCAAACCGTGGGGGTCAAGGCTGGTTTTTAGCTTTTGTTAATGAGTTCAAGGCTGGTCAGTGAACCTAAGCAGTAAGGGGTCAAGGCTGGTCAGTGAACCTAAGCAGTAAGGGGTCAAGGCTGGTCAGTAAAGGTAAGCAGTAAGGGGTCAAGGCTGGTCAGTGAAGGTAAGCAGTAAGGGGTCAAGGCTGGTCAGTTAAGGTAAGCTGTAAGGGGTCGAGGCTGGCCAGTGAAGGTAAGCAGTAAAGGGTCAAGGCTGGCCAGTGAAGGTAAGCAGTAAGGGGTCAAGGATGGTCAGTGAAGGTAAGCAGTAAGGGGTCAAGGCTTGTCAGTGAAGGTAAGCAGTAAGGGGTCAAGGCTGGTCAGTGAAGGTAAGCTGTAAGGGGTCAAGGCTGGCCAGTGAAGGTAAGCAGTAAAGGGTCAAGGCTGGCCAGTGAAGGTAAGCAGTAAAGGGTCAAGGCTGGTCAGTGAACTTAAGCAGTCAAGGCTGATGGACAATCCAGCAGTAATTAGTCAAATCTAGTAAAAAAATTTACTTCAAGTGAGTAGAACCTGCAGGAGTTAACAAGTGACTTACTCGCTGTGAGATCTTTTGTAGGACATTCCCTCGTCTGGCTGGGATTCAGATCCTGAGCTCTGGATGGCCTCTAGCGACCTTGACCTATGCCTCTGAGGCAGGAAGGCATCTTCATCCTCATCGTTGTCCTCAGAGTCTGAGTTGAAGCTGGAGAAGTGGCCAGGTGTGCTGGGGACAGGTAAGAGAGTTGCTCATCAGGTGAGAGAAAACATTATAAATTCTGTGTAGGAATTCATTAAGAAATATAACTCCACTAATTAGACGTTTTTATGAAAACTGCTATAGAAGGAGAATGTCAAGTGTATAGGCTGTAAGAAACAACGTCTCTCCAACACCAGACATGTCACCTACCTGGGAGGTGTGTAGGTGTTGAGGTGTGAGCCAGAGAATGACACCTTTGGGACTCGGCTCAGATCATCAAAATGGTGGTGGTCTTTGCTTAAGTCAACTTCTGTGCCTGCGTGGCGTTCAGAGTAGGACCTGGCAGGAAGTCATGAGAGAAATTTATTCAAGCTCAGATATGTAAACACCTGCAAATATCTCTATAAAAAATGTCTTTCTTTAACCATTTGACAATTCACAAATTTTGATGTTATGATACAAAAATGTTTTTTACTTAGCCAGCCTTCGTGTTCCTGTTGATCGTGACCTTAGATGTGACAATGGCCTTGAACTAAGACCTAGTTTGTCTTTGATCAAATTTGCCTAAGGAAAAAAAATGTGTTTAAAGATTGTATCAAGGAGCAAAGGGATCAGTTGAAGATAATACAAAATGTAGGCTTATCTTTAACTAGTAATAATACTGCTTCACTCTAGTGTTAGTTAAGCATTTATTAAAATATATCTCTTGAACACTACAAAAAAATAACTAAATCATTCATTGGTATATTAAGAGTTTTAATGGTGTTGAAATATTTTTTGATCCTCTTACTATCCTCGAAATGCTTCATCACTTCCTCACCTTGTCTCCTTTTCTTTTCAACATTTCCAGGAAATCTCTCCTAAAATCTTGAAACAAAAGCATTTGCAAATCTTCCAGTTTTTTCCTCTCTATCTCGATAGTTGCTTCAGTCGCACCACATTCTCTGAAAGAAAAAAGAGGGGCTTTAAAAACAGAATCAAGGTTCTTATAAATGAAACAATTTATGTGTTAGTTTAGTATCAAATGGTTGAGCTGAGTGAAAAACCTACTTCAGCTCTTGTACAATCTTTGCCTGCTCATTCATCTCTCTCTCAATTTTTCTGGCCCTCTCTTTAGGATCAAAGGTGTCAGAGAAAATCTCCTCAGGTAAAATGTCTGAAGCTAAACTGGTCCGTCTTTTCAACTGTAGGTCCTGTGGGTTAATAAAATATTTTTATACACATCTGCTCTCTAATTAGAAGTAATCAAGATAATATTGAAGCTTATTGAAACCAACATATTTTATAAGCTTTATTTAATAGAGATTTAAAATTGACTATATAAAAAACATAGGGGTGGGGGTAGGGGTGAAAAGAGATGAGAGGAGTAGAATCAGCTTAAAAATTCTGATACTAGATAACCAAATTTTTAGATAATTCAAGGTATTTTTCAGGAGGAAATCAACTAAATAATAGAGTACTTTTAAAATTAAAATGTTTTTGTTTATTTAGCTTTAAATAATTTAAACTTAAACTGTTATAAAAATATATCTAAATAACAGCCATGGTAGAAATGGCCTGAACGAAAAATAATTTTAAAATGTGTGGAAAAAGAAAATCATTGATGATGGTTAAGCAGCTTTTAGAGTAAATTTTCCTTCAAATAAAAAATGTTTTTTGCACAAAATTTTTTTTTCTAAATTAGACAGTGCAAGTGAATTCTATAAGGAGAACTAACCTCCTGGCTGTTTTCTTGTGTGTCTGGGCTGCTCAGGTCAACAGCATCATCATCGTCTTCATCAAAATCCCCATCCACGTCGTCGCTGTGCTTGTCAGTGTTGACAGGGCCTATGACGTCATCACTGTCACCAGCCAGCAGTGTCAGGGTGTGGCCCAGGAGGGTGAAGCGCTTGCCTATGTCTGTGTCCAGATGGACGTCTATACCTTTCATGTCCCACTGGACATTCAGGATCCACTTAGCATTGCCACTGCTGGTATCTGCAGAGTTGGAGGCTATTTAGTGGAAGTTGTAACCATCAGACAATGATAATATGTGTCTTGCTAACATAGCTCACCTATAACATTACATACATACTATATGTTAATAATTGACCATGATATTTATTTAATGTTGCTGATAAAATAAAATTGGGATTAATAGTAATACAAATGAAACCATCTTTATTGACTTCCATATAAATAAATCAACAGAAGATGTGTGTAACAAAACCTTGTTTATTGATGGTCCTGGAGCAGACCTCGTACGTGCCAGATGGCACATTGCACTGGTTCATCACAGCACCACTGTCTGTTGGCCAGGGTTTCCAGTCATCCCATGACGAGCCAAAGTCATCAGCAAAACGCAAACAAAAATCTGTATTAAGACAAGAGGAAATTCTCTGCTCATTTACTTGAAGAGAGGATTTTACAGAGAATAATTTTTTTTTTAAATCTTACATTTACTCTGTTTATGAACTTACTGACCAAAGACTTACTTTTAAATTTGCCCTTACTGACCAATGACTTACTTTTAAATTTGCCCTTACTGACCAATGACTTACTTTTAAATTTGCCCTTACTGATCAATGACTTACTTTTAAATTTGCCCTTACTGACCAATGACTTACTTTTAAATTTGCCCTTACTGATCAATGACTTACTTTTAAATTTGCCCTTACTGACCGATGACTTACTTTTAAATTTGCCCTTACTGATCAATGACTTACTTTTAAATTTGCCCTTACTGACCAATGACTTACTTTTAAATTTGCCCTTACTGACCAATGACTTACTTTTAAATTTGCCCTTACTGACCAATGACTTACTTTTAAATTTGCCCTTACTGACCAATGAGCCAGACGAACAAGCTGATATCTGAGTACTCTCTACAGTGAGAACAAGAGCTGAGCCCTGCTCTGCTTCAGCTACTCTAGGGGACTGGAGAGCTGGACCTGGGTTAGGTATTGGCTGGGGAAAACACAAATGGTTTGTAGTGATACTTTTCACAACTAGCAATATAGTTGTTTTCAATATAGTATATAAAATTATAAGAAAGTGAAACTGGAATTACTTGATAAGGTGAAGAGAGTAAAGGGACACAAATGCCCATGTCGTCCACAGTGAGTTGTAAGAATAAGGTTGTAATGGAAGGGGCAGCAGCTGGGGCTATGTGGGGGAGTTTGTCAATCACTTGTCTGGTGGCGGTCAGCACCTGGGGACACACAGATTACAGCCAACATCTGAAAGTGGCTCTAATGCTAGTTTAATCAATTCAGTAGTCTCAAAGTTAAACTAATAGAGACATTTAAAATAGAATGTTTTAAACTAGCACCTGTGGACACATAGCTAGCATTCAACATCTAATACTGGTTCTAATGCTTGGTTACACAATTCATTCATTCATTGAATAACCAAGTCCCAGAAATATAGGTATTTAAAATACTGTTTTACTGAAGAAATTAGAGTTGTATTAATTAACAAGCTACCTCTTTGTTGAGTGCCATTCGTTGTTCTGTCCAGTATTCATAGGCATTTTTGTAGTTCAGCCACACTAGAACAGCTGTTTAAAAGACAATATTTATCAGTGACACTGAGTTAATAGCATGAACCAAGACTAAAACACTAGGTTAAAAGACAAGAAAATGCAATTATTCAACTGTATTTAAAAAAAATTAAACCTACTTTAGGAATAACATAAAAACAACAGGCAACATAAAAACAACAGGCAGTGATTTAGTTTTACCTTTATCAAAGGCAAGAGGTTGGGCTAGTATAATGGGTCTGAAGAGATTGATGAGCAACGCCTCTTGATCATGTGACAAGTTAGGAATCATCTCATGCTAAAAAAAAAGGGTGAAAAGTTAGTTTATGAAGATAAAGTTTGCTAAGCTGTTGAAATAAATGTAATTAAACAAAAATGTGTTCCTATACCTGCAGGGCATTCCTGACTTTGATGGTGGTTTTAAAGAAGGCCATGGTGTGGAACTCTGGCTCTGCTTCTTCAAACACAGGGTTCTGGAATTAGATTTGGTCATTTTATATGATATAACACAGGATTCTGGAATTAGACGGTCATTTAAACACTATATAACACAGGATTCTGGAATTAGACTTGGTCATTTAAACACTATATATCACAGGATTCTGGAATTAGACTTGGTCATTTAAACACTATATAATACAGGGTTCTAGAGTTAGATTTGGTCACTTTAAATGATATAACACAGGATTCTGGAATTAGACTTGGTCATTTAAACACTATATATCACAGGATTCTGGAATTAGACTTGGTCATTTAAACACTATATAATACAGGGTTCTAGAGTTAGATTTGGTCATTTTAAATGATATAACACAGGATTCTGGAATTAGACTTGGTCATTTTAAATGATATATATCACAGGATTCGGGAATTAGACTTGGTCATTTAAACACTATATAATACAGGGTTCTAGAGTTAGATTTGGTCATTTTAAATGCTATAACACAGGATTCAGGAATTAGATTTGGTCATTTTAAATCCTATATTAACACAGGATTCTGAAATAATACAACATGCAGCACTAATCTAAAAATATATATAGATTTTGTTTAGACTTTCTATAAACTAAAGATCTTGTAAAAAAAAAAGTATTTATTTTACCTTCAACAGCTGTCCCAGGGCCAGATTTAAATCTACAACAGCTTGTATAAACATCTTCTGACTGCTATTGTACTTATCTAGTGAGAACATGGTAAGCAGATTTGAGACCTTTACTACAAATTCTTAGAAAAGCTTGACATTTAATACAAAAAAAGCTTTCAAAATTATAATTTCTCGATTAGAAAAAAAAAATTTGAAACCACAATGACATGACTACATTCTCTTACCTTGTTCATCAGTTGATTTTGATGCATCACTAAAATCTTTTTTTGGAAGGTGATATCTATTTGACAGATCTAGAGTTATCGCCCCTGTTTCAAATCTGACTGCATTGGAAGTGGGTGTGGTGGCTGTCACTTGAATGCCCTATAAACAGAAGCTAATTCTTTAATTATGTCTTACTTTATTAAGTTCCATAACTTAAAGTGTCTGACTATTTACTTCCATGATTGTTGTTACTTTGTGTTTTTAAATGCCTGACTGCATATAGTCCAATAATTATTGTTAATGTTTTTTATTGTCTGACTATATTTAGTTCCATGACTGTTGTTAGTTAATGTTTTTAAATGCTTGCACTGTGCTCTATGACTGTATGAAGGTGTATATATGTACCTTGAACCTGACAGACACAGAGTACAGCAGAGGTTTGGTCCCTGGGATGTCATCTGACTTGATGGTTGACTTCATTTCTTCTACATGACTGTTGCCAGAGCCAGAGACTTTCTGGACTATTTCGTTGATTTCCTGGTCAAATAAACCAGTTCAAACTTGCAAGAACACATATATATCTTGTATATTTCAACACACTCATTTAGAAAAATGACTATATTAATACCAGTCCTTGCTAGCATTAAAAACAAAGCAATCTAAGTTAGCTTACATGTTCAATCACTCTAGTAAAATTGCTTAAAACCAATCAGGCATTAATTTTAAATTCTATTGATGTACCAAATTATTCAAATGGATTTAACATGCATGTAATACAATTTTTACTGTATGAATTATTTTTAGCATATTGTTTTAATGTTTAATTAATCATATTTATTACTTTCAAACATTTTAAATAAAATTGTACATAAATGTTCAAAGTAAAAATATTCATAATATAGTGTTTACCTTCATGAAAGCTTTCAAATGTATTAACATGCATGTAATATTTCTACTGTATACATTATATTTAGCATATTGCTTTAATGTTTAATTAATAATATTTATTACTTTCAAACATTTTAAATAAAATTGCACATAAAAGTACAAAGTAAAAATATTCAAAAAGTAGTGTTTACCTTCATGAAAACTTTCTGCACAAAGACCAAATGGTTGAGCAGGTCAGTGGTCAGACTGTGCTCCAGCATGCCCACCTCGGCTATAGCATGCAGATAGTTGCCCTCCAACAGCTCCAGGTCCTCACTGATGTCAACCTCCTGGTGGTCAGTGGCTGGAGCGTCTGGTTTCTGTACCCTGTAGTCTGCTATCACTTGGATGGGAGGAAGTTCAATGCTGGTGGCTGATGGGATTGGGGTGTCTGCCAGTGCTGCTGCTGCCGTTATCTTTCAAATAAATGATCCAAAAAATAAAAAATTTTAATACTATTCTTTATCACTAAATAAATAAAAATGTTGGTAATAATGTATTTTTATTTAATCTAAAAACCTAATAGTAATCTAATACCGTAATCTTTCAAAAAAAGGCTCATTTATTGGGTTTTTTTAATGCTATTCTTTAACATTAAACAAACACAAAATGTCAGTAATAATATATCTTTATTTTAAGTGCACATAAAATACTAATAAAGTTATTCATTAAACAATCTTATAAAGATTTAGAGGTAAGCTACTTTTTATTGTTTGTAAATTAGATTTACATATTTAGAATTTTTCTAAAAGTAATATTTTTAAGACATATATTTGTATATATTTTGTATATTAAATACAAAATCATTCTGGCATCTCACTGGTTTGATTGTCAAGTGGGGAAATAGAAAGTATATGGAATGATTTTCTATATAAAAACAATTTTTCTTAAGTCCAAAATAAATCCCCATATTGTAAAAATAAGTAAACTTCAAAGCAGTGATTTACTTTTCTTAAGTTGAGGTGGTAAACAAGAAAAGACCTACCCTAGACTTGAAGCTGAGCAGATGTGTGGGTAACATGATGGTGAAGTGAGCTTTTCTCCCCAGAACTCCAGTCAGGGTGATGGCGTCAGTCTTGTACTGGGCCTTGAGTGAGGGCAGGATGGAGGCTCCAATCACCACACCCTGCAGGACTGCCTTCACATGGAGGTGCTTGCGGACAACTTTCTCTTCCCTGATTTTTTTACCCAGGCCTTTCAAGTTCTTGACCTTTTCCTGGGGTGCTTTACTCTGTGCACCGTTCACTGTGGCATGGGCAGCGCTCTGGTTGGAGTTGTCGTCAGATGACAAATGGAGGCGGCTACAAGATTAAACAACAATTTTGCTGGATTAAATGGAAGCAAATAAACATTTATGGGCACAAGAGTAAGAAACCACAACAATAAATAAAGTTTTTTATTAACTCTAGATAACTCTTAATAAACTGGTTCTTCAATTCTCTTATGGGACGGCGTGGTCGAATGGTCGAGCTCATCTGCTACCCCAAAAAACACAGAGTTTGAGTCCCTGTATAATAGCTTGTTCCTGAGTCCACCCAACTCTGATGGGTATCTGACTTATGTTGGGGAAATTCAAGGCAGCTGGGCATAGCGCTGACCACACTATCCCTTTATATACTGAGGGCACAGAAACAGGTGAACTCTACTTCACCTGTCCTGTGGGCCTCCAGGTCATAAAGGGAACTTGACTTTACTTCAATTATCTTACTTTGTACTCTGTGTGGGCCATCTAAGTTCCTGCAATGTGGCTGTAATCCTCTTGGAACTTCTTGACATCATGTCATGTAAAATGACAGGATGTTGTGGAATGTCAATTTCAATAACTCCAATGGAGACGAGGGTAGAGTTATGCTCCTTGCCACGTCGCATGACAGATGTCAGTAAACTCTGGGACTTGTTGATATTGATGGTCACAACTGTCCTGGAAATAGGCACACACAAGCATTTAATTGTTTAATAGAAAATATGTATTTATGTATAAATTGATGATATAGTCTCTTGTACTAAAAATATGGACGCAGCTTGTTTATCAAATGAAAATTTGATTTTCCATACTGCTATTTAATAATCTGAGTATTAAATATACAAGAAAAAAATTCTGGAAAAAAAAAGATTTTTTGTTTTCAGGGGAGTTAACATGTTTATTTTTGTTAATGATGGGAGGTAACTTACTGCCAGTCTGGAGGTTCACCTTCTCTTAGGTTGATCATGGAGTGGCCAACATGGGCTGTGTAAGAGGAGTCTGAAGACACTCTGTGTAGGAAACCTAGGACAGATAGATAGTAGAACAAATAATTATTAGAAACCTAGGACAGATAGTTTTAAACCAGTCATTTGTTGATTTCATTTAAGTGATACAGTAAACTTCATTAACCCAGGAGTGGAAACAAAACCAGACAACAAAGATTAAGGAAAAGATAACAATGAATGACAGCTTGTGTTAGAGATTCACCTTTGACCTTTTTCTTGTAAGTTCCACTAGCATGTACTTTGGTTGTGTTGGCCTCAAGTTTCAGACCACTCAACTCTGCACTAATGAGGAACTTCTCAACCTTCACTATACCATACACAATCAGGGGTACGCTCTCTCCTACATATATACCTAGAGCAAGAAGCAGGCTTAACTCAGAAATCTTTTCAAAATCATCAAAAATACATTCTGAAATTAAATGTGGTGCCTAGCAAGTAATATTGTAGGCCAAAAAGAATTTAGAAAGAACTAAATACATGATATTTGCTACTCAGAAAATAATCCTATAAGGGCTAATAGAAAAAAAATATATACAAAAGATCTCCTACTTTGTTTGAACCTTGTCCTAATGAAGGACTGTCGGGCTAATGAAGAATCACTGCCCAGACCCTCCTCTTCCTTGGCAGCAGATGTTACTTTGTCCTCTTCTCTCTTCACTGGCTCTTTGGTTTTTATTTCTATTTTCTCTTTGGCTTTTATCCTCACATCATGAGCATCTGAAATTTTTAAAGTGAGACAAACTAATAAAAAATAAAATAGCTGATCTTTTAGACCCAAGGGGGTTAATAGTTTAAAAGAAGTAGAGGTTACCTGTTTCTGTGACCTCAGCATGTGAATGCATAGTGCACTATGACAAGCCGCAAATACTTTATAACTTGAGCCAGTTACACATAGAAGTCAGTGGACTTGGCAATATAATATGGAACTCAGGACTTCTGGGTTAGCATCTGTGTGCTCTATCACTAGGCCACACTGCCCCATTAGATATACTAATATCCTGACTTAATCTACTCAACTAGTAGGACAGTATCAACTTTTTCACAATGTTATATTTGGTACTACATAAACAATGGGAAACTAACCGCCAAGAATTGTTAACATTGATTCAAGGTGGTCTTTGCTACAACAAATTACTTCTATGATTTAATGACCATATAAACTTACCTGTAGAAGAATCTCGCCTGTCCCAATGATCAAAGGACCAGATAAACTTACCTGTAGAAGAATCTCACCTGTCCCAACGATCAAATGACCAGATAAACTTACCTGTAGAAGAATCTCACCTGTCCCAACGATCAAATGACCATATAAACTTACCTGTAGAAGAATCTCACCTGTCCCAACGATCAAATGACCATATAAACTTACCTGTAGAAGAATCTCACCTGTCCCAACGATCAAATGACCAGATAAACTTACCTGTAGAAGAATCTCACCTCCTGTCCCAATGATCAAATGACCAGACAAACTTACCTGTAGAAGAATCTCACTCAGGTCCCAACGATCAAATGACCATATAAACTTACCTGTAGAAGAATCTCACCTGTCCCAACGATCAAATGACCAGATAAACTTACCTGTAGAAGAATCTCACCTCCTGTCCCAACGATCAAATGACCAGATAAACTTACCTGTAGAAGAATCTCACCTGTCCCAACCATTAAATGACCAGATAAACTTACCTGTAGAAGAATCTCGCCTGAGTCCCTGCAGCATGGAAGACTTCCTGTTCTGGATGAGTGTTCCAATTTTGGCACTGTAGTCTGAGATGCGAGACTCCCTTTTGACTGAGCCTTCCTCCCCCTCTTCTTCCACAATCACAGGCAACTTGTTCAATGCTGAAGTTTTAATTAAATAGTTACCCAAGGCAGAAACTTATTTTCAATCTTAATTAAGTTATCAGTATAGAAAATGTGAGTAGCTGAAACAAGCCTGACCTTGAGAGTGTCTAACAGCAACAGTTTTTGGCTCTGGCATGGTGGCATATAGCTCCAGCAGCTGGTACAGGTGGCGCCAGCACTGGGGCGTGTTCTCCTTGATCTCATCTATGATGGTCTTCTCATTGAGGGCTGGGGATGAGGTGTCTGCCAGATCTAGCACTACAGAATCACTCAGGTTCAGAGAGTGGGGAGGGGTCATGACCTCCCCGTCACTTCCTGTGCTGGCAAATGAGGTGGACATTTTTTCTACAGGAAAAAAAATGTAAAAATTTATTCAGTTAATTAGTATTTGAGAAAAATTATTTCTTTTTCAAATAATTAAAATTAATAATCTAGTTTTGTATATACCCTCAAGGACATTCTAGGGTCTAATGCCCTTGTGCCAAATTGGAGACTTTCAGATTAGTTATTGGGCACTCTGCCTCTCATACTTTTATAAAATTCATGTTTGAACTTCAATCATAATTAGACACGTAAAAAGTATAAAAAAAAGGTTTTGATTATCAGAATACTAAACAATCAAGGAACATATTTAAATTCTCTGTGCACATACTTGATGTAGTAGCTTCCATTTTTGAGTCCTGAGCAAATCTGAGGTGGGCAAGTTTTTTGGTATGTCCAATACCAATTGGCAACTCCTCTGGTCTTTTCTTTTCTTGCAGCCTCTCAGTTAAAGATGAGAGAAGAGGTTTTGTGTCTGTACTAGTGCCAGATTTCCCATCCTTGGCAAAGCTACCACTCTCCACTTTTGGTAGAGATGGAGTGGAGTTATCTGGCCCTTGAAGAATTGGAGACTGCAAGGACTTTTGAGGCATGATGGGTGAGGGCATTTTGATCCCTGGCGGCCATTTTGTATCAATTCTAGAGCCTGAAGAACTGGGAACCAGGGTCGCAGTAGTTTCTGTGCTTGTCTTTGATGAAACGGCACTTGGTCGAGGGATTATTGGTGTTTCTGGAAAAATAAGCAAACTGATGTTTTTAACTTGCGTTAACACATTTACCCAAATGTAAAACACTAAAATTTCTAATACATCCAAAAAAATAGATAGAATGTGGTTTAATAAGCTCTTTTTCTAAAAGCTAAATTCATAGAAGGATTTTAAAAAAGGATAATATTTTCTTTTTCCTTTGGTTTTGTACTTTTTTTCTTTCAAAAATATACATTAAAAAATTACATTTCTTAAAAGGAAATTCTAGTAAAATGTTAACAGCATAGTTATTTGAATGTAATTGGTGATTTCAATGCATGTAAAATTCACTGCTAATGAAACATAATTTCAAGTAAAAAACTTTCTTTATTTAATTTTGTAAAAGCGGGAAAAAAAGTCAAATCAAAGTTACCTTTCTTTTTATCAAGGGCCATTAAGTTAGTGAATGACCCCATGAGGCGCTCAGTTTGAGAAGTATCCGACTGATTTGTATCCACACTGGATGTTGAATCTTTGGATTCCTGTTTCTTGTGTGTCAGCATCCATATGGATTGTTCAAGTCTTTTCTGCTTGAGCTCAACTCTGGTCTCTTTGACATTACCAACCATTGTCAGCACCTGGGACATGAGATTTATTGTTTACACAGGTTCTAACATTCTCACGGAAAAACTTGTCTTTAATTAACCTGTCACCTAACTGGATTTATACTGACATTTTCACAGATAAAACTTGTCAATAGTTAACCTGTTACCCAACAAAATGCACACTGACATTTTTCAAATTATGTTTTGATAATTAAATGTAGTTTAACTAATATAGGTATTTTTGTTAAGTATTTTTTAACACTATAAAATTAAATTTAAAGATATTTTGGATGTTCATTTTTAACTTTGGCTAAAAATTCATTTTTGGGGTTAACCCATAAAGGATTTTCCAATTATTTTAATATCGAACACACACATTTCTAAATTCAATTTTTTTTCCATTATTTTTAAACTTTTAATAAATTATGAGTCAGTGTTGAGCCAACCATTACAAAACCTTAAGTCACTGAGGTTAATTTACCTAGTGAGGTAACTGTAACAAAACTCTGGGTCACTGGGGAAAAGTTATCTGATGAGCCAAGTGTAACAAAATACTGAGTCACTAAGTTAAAATTACCCAGTGAGGTAACACAACAAAACCCTGAGGTTAAGTTACCTGGTGAGCCAAGCGTAACAAAACACAGAGTCACTGCAATAGTTACCCAGTGAGGTAACCATAACAAAACCCTGAGTCACTAAGGTAAAGTTACCTAGTGAGGTAACACAACAAAACCCTGAGGTAAAGTTACCTGGTGAGCCAAGGGTAACAAAACACTGAGTCACTGAGGTAAAGTTACCCAGTGAGGTAAGCATAACAAAAGCCCAAGGTAAAGTTACCTGGTAAGCCAAGCGTAACATAACACTGAGTCACTAAGATAAAGTTACCTAGTGAGGTAAGCATAACAAAACCAAAAGGTGAGGTAACACAACAAAACCCTGAGCTAAAGTTACCTGATGAGCCAATCGTAAGAGAGCCATGTCAACATTCTGCCTGATAGAGTGACAGTTGACCAGTAGGTTGATCTGTAGTGTTGTGGGCTTGGCCTCCAGCTTGTGCATGGCAAACTTGTAGGGGAACTTTGAACTCCCTCCACTCTCATTGAAATCTACTGCATCTTTTAGGGAGACGTTCACATCAAAACTGTGACATAGAAGAGAAAAACAGACAAATAGTAATATGCATGGAAGATTAGAACTTTCATAGACAAGCAAGATTTGTGCTTTCATCTTGCAAGATCAATTCTTCCATAAGCGAGTAAGATTTGTGATTACATCATGCAAGATTTGGTCTTTTATAAGCAAGCACAATTAGGGTTTACTTGTATCTGCTTTATAAAATATACTATTATTTAGAAAACAAAGGGACAGGTTGGCAGGGAGTTACAGCGTTAGACTGCTAACCCAAAAGTCTCAGGTTCGGATCTCTGACTTGTGTTTCTAGGACCTCCTGAAGTCCAGCAAGTTCTGACTTACATTAGGAAAATATAGAGGCATCTGGGTATAGTACAGGCAAGACTACTTCATCATATGCATTAGTCAGAGAAACAGATTACCATCAGGTCCAGAAGGGTAACAAACGTCCATTTAAAAAACTAGCTATTTTCTCAGCATTAACTTCTAACAGACCAAAATGAATGAGCAGATCGCACCTTTCACACTGGAATGCTGGACTCTCTGGTATTTTATTTAGGCTCCTCTTGCCCCGACCTTTACCCTTTGGTGTGTAGGTCATGTGGAGGGAGGGTGTGGCCTCTGACTCTGCTATCAGAATCTTGAACACACTGATGTGGCCCTGCAGTAAGAGATGGCCTCCAAACTTTTTCATCATGGCCGAGGGCCGAACACTTTCCACATGTAGCCCTAAGCTCTGTAGAACTGGCTTGAAGAGGACCTACAAGAGGGTCAAAGTAAAAAAATAATCAATCAGTTTCAACTCTCTCTTACAGTTGTAAAAAAGGTTTGAGTAAAAGTTTAACATTTTATCAATAGAAAATATATATATATAATCAAAACATATTATCTTTTGAAAATAAACATCTCTTTAGTTGTATACCAGATATATTAAATTGTTTTTAATTTATTGCTTATACTTTCATTTTATGTGATAGTTTCAAGGAAAATAAAAATGAACTTTGAGTTATCCAACTCTTGTTGAATCTTGTAAAATTTGATTGAGCTATTTGCTTAATAGATGTCAACAATAAATGTCAATACCTGAGCATCAGCTCATTACATGCCACATGTCAGCATTAGCTCACTACATGCCACATGTCAACATTAGCTCACTACATGATACATGTCAACATCAGCTCACTACATGACACATGTCAACATCAGCTCACTACATGACACTTGTCAACATCAGCTCACTACATGACACATGTCAACAATAAATGTCAGTACCTGGGCATGACTACATGACACATGTCAACATGGCACATGTCAGCATCAGCTCACTACATGACACATGTCAACATCAGCTCACTACATGACACATGTCAACATCAGCTCACTACATGACACATGTCAACATCAGCTCACTACATGACACATGTCAACATCAGCTCACTACATGACACATGTCAACATCAGCTCACTACATGACACATGTCAACATCAGCTCACTACATGACACATGTCAGCATCAGCTCACCACATGACACATGTCAACATGACACATGTCAACATCAGCTCACTACATGCCACATGTCAACAATAAATGTCAGTACCTGGGCATCAGCCAGCTGCATGATTGACGTCGCCATGGTACAGTCCTCCTCGTTGACGTCCAGCTTGCTGTCATCCTGTGTCCATGAGCTGGCCAGTCCAGCTGTACATGACTCTGTTGTGTTCTGGCGCAGGTACTGGGAGGTCTCATCCCCATCCAGGTCTATATGGAAGTCATTCTCTGTCTGTTGTTTGGCCATCCACTGGTACAGGTCCTCGTTCTGTTTGTATCTGCCAGGTTAGGTTAGGAGCAGTGTGGCTTAGTATTTCTTAGGTACAGAAAGGTATTAACAGTGTGGTTTAGTATGCATTATGTACAGAAAGGTAGGAGCAATGTGGCTTAGTGTTTATTGTGTACAGAAAGTTACTAAGTGTGGCGTAGTATTTATTATGTACAAGAGTGTTATTAACAGTGATGCTCAATATTTACCATGAACAATTTTTGCCACTGTTATTACTCTACAAAATAAATAGATAAAAATCTATTGTTATAGTAGACTTTACCCCAATGAGCGCAGTGAATACTTCTTAAATTTTGTGTTAAGTCTAGTCATTCTTTAAGGCTTAAGCATTTTTTTTAACTTTGCTATTAAAACAATTAAATAAGTTGTCTTTAATATTTATAAGTATGTATTTTTATTGATGTATTAAATAAAAGTAAATAAGCATTATAGGAGAATTTAAACACAAAATAATGAACTAAATTAAACTACCTGTTTTTGAGAATGGAATGCTTGGGTCCAGCAGTTCTGATGGGTGTGTGTGGGGGTGTGGGGGCCACAAGCTGCTCATTACTTGAGACACTCTCCACTAGGGACGTGAAGCTGATGTTGCTGTCATTGCGGTTCAGACTCAGCCCAAGGGGAGGGGGAGCTAAGTTAGAGGAGCTGTGGTCTAGAGGTGAGTCAGTGACCCCAGCTGATTTCCTGCAAGTGTCAGGTCATTCAAGAATGTGTTAAGTGTTCGTTTGCATTTGTTTGTTATTGTATCAACATAGTTTGTGATTTAAATGCTTTAAAAATATCTACTTTTTTTTTAAACATTGACTGAAATAAACCGGGAGTGATCTCCCGTAAACTTTCTCGAATATTCTTATATAAAACAACAGGGGATGGGAACTCGGGTTACAGACATGATTTTTAATCCATTTTAAATACTTAAAGTTTTAAAAATAGAATAAAATCTCGTAGACAAATTAATTGCACACCAAGTGAACGCGAATAAAAAAGCGCATAATAGTGCGCAATACTATTAGTACTTTTAAAATTTACATTAGTTTTTTGAGAAATCGGAAGTAGCGTAAATAAGTACTTCCGGTCAACGAAAAATTCTCAAAATTTGACAGAAGGTAGAGAGTTAGATCTTTTACTTACATATCAAATTTCATTTATCCATCTGAAATAGTACTCAAATTATAGGCTTTTGAAAAATTCAAAGTAGAAAAAGTACCACTTCCGGTTATCCGAAATCGCTCAAAAGTTGATACGGATCTACGATTTTGATAAAATACTTGTATATGAAATTTCATCAACCTAGCTGTAACGGTACTCAAGTTATCGTGTTTACACACGGACACACACACACACACACAGACACACAGACATACGGACAAGATTGCAAAATTATGTTTTTCCGTATCAGTGAGATGTAAAACGTCGAGATTTGCAAAAATCTCGATTTTTTTTTTTTGCACGATTACAAGACTTTCTCTATACTTCGTATATACGAGAAAGTAAAAAAGAGAATCAAATCAAAACAAAACAAAACAAAAATTAATACATTTGCAATATGCCATTTAAATTACAACTATAATTACTGATGCTATTTATAAATTAACATGTGTGGTTTTATGTTTCGAAAAAATTTGTTTAATTATTATTTTATAAATTACAGTTTCTACAATATCAAGTTTTAACACTAAACTATATTTTTTTTTTTTATGTAATGCTTTTATTTTCCATTAAAACAAAAATACAACATATTTACCGCAGTAACCATCTAAACTATAAGTAAATCATTTAAATGGAATCAGAATGAAAGCTATTTGATAAATAAAAAATCTGTTGCCAATACAATAAGAAATGTAAACTTGGTAAAGTTAGGTGTTAACATACAACCACAAGACCTACTTGAATATGTGAGAGAGGACATGAGGCTTGCTAGCTGGCACAGAGTCAGCACTAACATAATCCAGGCCATCTGTCTTGTCTGTTTTACCCTGTGTACTGATAGAGTGACGGCCCTTGCTGTGTAGGCTTGGGACAGATCCTGATCTGTGAGTTATTCCCCCTTCAGCCTGGTCAATTAAGAATTTATGTTGGAGTTAGAAACAGAACTATTTTTAACTACTTGCTAAATAAAAATTTTAAAATAACCTGCAGTGAGGTGAGCACAATGTGCGCTGTTTTAATAAGAAACTATACCTGGAGTAGAGAAATTTTTTCATCAACCACATCAAACTGGTCAATCATGATGTCATCACTTTCTTCCACAGCTTCATCTACGGTCTCTGTTTTAGGCAGAGCAAAGGACACATTGTATGGGCGTATGCTGCGACGAGACTGGAATAAACACAACAGTGATCAGCTGGGTAGCATTTCATTTTTGTGACGGCGATGTGTATGCATGTTCATGAGAGTGTTGAACATTGAACAACATATGAACTCACCTTGAAGTTAATCTCACTCAAGTTGGGCATATAGAGGACATTCTTCCACTGCCTCATGAGTGCCAGTATGCCCTTCTGTACTGTGATGAGCTGGGGCACCGTCTCTGCTGAGACTGCCCTCTCTACTGGGTTGATGCCGTACTTGTGCAGGTACTTCCTCAGGACAGTCAGCAGCTGGTTGGATGGGTCTTCTTGCAGGGTTTTAGACAGGGGGGTCAGCTTGTTGAACTTGCTCTGTTAGATCAAAAACATCATCTGCATTTATAAATATATTTCTTCCAGTAAACGTTTTTAGCACTATAATTGACTATTGTCATATATTTGGGGTCAAATGGTCTATACTTTTCTTCTTCTTCTTGGTTCTTAATTGTAATGTTGGACAGGATTTCCTCCAACACAATTAAGTAATACATGTCAAAGGTACCTTATACTTTTGAAACTCAAACCTAAATAATGAGATTTTTTGAATGACACATGAAGAATAATTATATTCCTTAATGAGTTAAGGAATATAATTATTCTTCTGACCCCAAGAAATATAAGAGATTTTAGATGACTAAGACTTACAATCAGATGGGAAACATGAACAAATAGTTGCATGACAACAATCATTGATAAGTTTGTCTTATAGATACTATGAATCCATTGACACTCAATGTGCTAGATGAGATAAAGTTTACCTTGTAGGCAACATGAATCCCTTGGCACTCAAGCCCTTCAATCATCATACAGGCTATGACACAACACATGCGTCTGGAGTACTCTCTGACCAAATTCCTCACAGAGTTCATCAGCCTATCACTGGGGTTCAGCCAGGCATCAATGGCCGGGGTGGCTGTACTCAGAAGGTTCCAGTCTAGCCTGAAAAATTGGAAAATTGAAACTGTTTGCTGTTCATAATTGTAAAAATTCTTTTGCCTCATAACCTTTTAGATTCAAGAATTTGCAATAAACGGAATAGAAATAAGATCGACTTACCGAGTGAAATCGACTTTCTTGTGAATAGATATGGGTGGAGGAGAAGCAAAGTTGAACCAGATGGTCTTGAGTTCGAGTCTACCATGTGAGGCATCACCTTCTAGTGGCTCAGGTGTTGGGACCGGGGTATCAGACGGCGACTCGCTGGACACCAGAGATTTATTCGAGCCCCAGGACGGGGAGCTGAGGGAGGAGGAGGGGATGTTGCCAGAAGGGGAGCTAAGCGGCACCGTGCTGGAGTCCTGGCTTGCCTCTTCCCTCTTCACTCCCTCGCTGTCTTTCCTCTTCTCCCTCTCCTGCTCCTTGTCGTGCTGCTCCACCTTGGCCCTGGCTGCCTCCTGCATCTGTGCCACAGTCTTGTCAATGCTGTTGAGCTTCTCCTCAATCAGCTGGGCATCACTGTTGTCCTGGTAGCCAAGCCTCCTGACAGCAGTCACTGAAACATCCTCAAGCCCAAACTCACACATGATGAAGCCAATGTTGGCCGCCACAGGAACTCCATTCACGTCACCTCCATCTCCTCGCAGTAGACCATCTGGGTCTCTGTCTCGACTAGAGGTGCGAGAAAGTCTCCGCTTAGGGGAGGGGTTGATGATAGTGCTACTACCTAAACCATCAGATACAAATGTAATAAGATACAAAGTAGCATAACAAAAATGAGATAACTTGTATTATAAAGATCAAATGCTAGGCCTATACTAAACATATTTTGTTTGCATTATAAAGATCAAATAGTAGGCCTATACAAAACATATTTCACTTGTGTTATTAAATCCAATCTCAGACTTAGACACATTAGACTCACCAATGTTACTCTCCTGGTTGAGGAAATTCGACCCAGTGGGGTGGGTGGACAGTGGTGTGGATGTGTCCTGCTCCAGGTTAAACAAGACCCGTGAGAACTGCTCAGGTATGGCTGTGAGAAGAACATGCTCGGAGTAGTTGCTGAACTTGAGCAGCCTGCGCAGCTGTACATGGATGTGTGAGATGTGCAGTGTGCCCACATTCTCTTCTCTTGTGACTTCTTGAGGTCTTTAAATAGGAAAATTTATTCAAATTTTTTTCATTCTACTTAAAATTTGTTAAGAGAAGATTTTTTATTTTTTTTAAAACTATTATAATGTTAAAAAAGGTAAGCAGAATCAAAAGAATAAAACTACAATTACAATATTTATTCTGTTTACAATAACATACATACATTGAAAATGGAAATGTAAACAAGTTGTATAGATAGAAACATACATTTGTTTCAACACTGTAATATCAAGAGAGGTAATTAGAGATGTAATCTTACTTATCAATATCAGGCTCCATGGGATTTACTTCCCCTTTCCCTCTAGTCTGACCAGAAGGAAACTTGACAGATGGCTTTGGTGTGGCACTGGTTTTTCTGGTCAGTGGTTCTTTGTTGGACTCTATGGCAACCTGGGACAAATTATGTTATGATCAACACATTTGTAGTTAGTAGTTCTTTATTAGACTCTATAGGAACCTGGGACAAAATATTTGTGATGAGTGGTTATTTGTTGGGCTCATAGTAGCCTAAGACCCATGTGATGTGTGAACTTACTTTACATGAGTGTTTGTTAGACAAGAGCTGGCACCTGATCCCATCAATACAGACAGCCAACAAAGATACAGCTGTCAAACATTCAATCAATCAATGTGTGAACTTACTTTACATGAGTGTTTGTTAGACAAGAGCTGGCACCTGATCCCATCAATACAGACAGCCAACAACAGCTGTCAAACATTCAATCAATCAATGTGTGAACTTACTTTACATGAGTGTTTGTTAGACAAGAGCTGGCACCTGATCCCATCAATACAGACAGCCAACAAAGATACAGCTGTCAAACATTCAATCAATCAATGTGTGAACTTACTTTACATGAGTGTTTGTTAGACAAGAGCTGGCACCTGATCCCATCAATACAGACAGCCAACAACAGCTGTCAAACATTCAATCAATCAATGTGTGAACTTACTTTACATGAGTGTTTGTTAGACAAGAGCTGGCACCTGATCCCATCAATACAGACAGCCAACAAAGATACAGCAGTCAGATCACTGGCTGAGCCCAAGTTTGAAAAAGCTATCACTTCCTCCACTATAGAGGCTTGTAGGACGCACACATTGATCTGCATAGTTTGATTAGAATTAACATTACTTGTATCTACACGTATAACAAGTAATAATATTTGTCAGAAGGAAAGTTTTACAGTACAGTAATTTAAGTATTCTTGTAAAATATAAGTGGGTTGACGATAGTGCTACTACCTAAGCCATCAGATACAAATGCAATGAGATATAAAATAGTATAACAAAACTGAATAGTTTGATTAGAATTAACATTAATAGTTTCTACACTTATAACAAGTAATAAAATTTGTCAGAAGGAATGTTTTACAGTACAGTAATTTAAGTATTCTTGGAAAATATAAGTGGGTTGACGATAGTGCTACTACCTAAGCCATCAGATACAAATGTAATGAGATATAAAATAGTATAACAAAACTGAATAGTTTGATTAGAATTAACATTATTTGTTTCTAGACTTATAACAAGTAATAATATTTGTCAGTAGGAATGTTTTACAGTACAGTAATTTAAGTATTCTTGTAAAATAATAGCAATTAAATTAGTATAAAAATATTCATGTTATTTCAGCTTTCTACTGTCTGTCCTGTAAAAACATTATTTGACTTGAGTACCTTTGGTATGGTAAAAAGTGCCTGTAGTGAAGAGGTTTTAGCTGGCATCACTTCTTTACTGGATGACAAGTTGTCATTAGATTCCTCAGGTTTGTTCTCCCACTCTTTGCCTTTCTTCAACTTGTTTTGTTGCTTTAGTCTATCTAGACATTGGCTGTGTAGGCCATCAATTAAAGATGATGGGTGGAGTTTGGAAAGGGTTGGAGTCACAGCTTCAACATATCTGAAAGAATTCAATTCAAAACAGTGTATATTTTCAAAGATAAGTGATTTATACTTTTTATTATATATAAAAATATGACTTAAATAATGAATATAAATCTATTTATTTTGAAATATATTTCATCTATATAATATATTTGAGTCATTATTGTAGGTTAAATCTGACCAAAGAAATCTGCAACTAGGGTCAAAAAGTCAAAACTGGATTAATAGGTCAATGAGATGAATGAAGCCAAACCTTTGTAAAGCTTCAAGTAACAGGGGAGTTAACAAAACATCTAGTGATCCTGACAACTGTACAACGGCTGTAGTTTTGGATAGGTTGTCTGTTGGGGCATCTTTACTGGATTCTGGAAATTAGACATAGCAACTCTTCCAAATGATTACAAGTATAAGGTAAAGTAAAACTATTATGGAGCAAAGTAGCTTTTCTTTAGGGTTTTTTGTTACTAAAAACATTGATCTCTGATCAAATAAAACGGTCTAAGTGAAGAGTTGAATGACCACTAACTGACCTTCCTCTGGGTGTGTTTGCTTCCTGTGTTCTCTGTCTAGTGTTGCCTTGATGTTGAACAACTCAGCTGTTATATTTGTAGGAGAGGCTTTCTAGAGATTTTAAGTAAACAATTTTTAGGGACATAGTTGTAATAGATTCTGCAGTTCTTTGCTATTTTTAAAATTCATTTCCTCAAATGACTGTCAAAAGCATAGTACAAGAAAAACAAAAAAAATTTTTTTTACATTATTCAATATTTGCAGTGCTAAAAGTATGTGTAATTCAAACAAACATTTGTCACTACTTTCAACTAAAATGCCCATAAAATTGAACTCAAATAATCCAATCTACCTTCATGTCTGGACGTGGTTTCATCACATTCACACTGAAGCCTTCCTTCACTCTAAAGAAATGTGGTGTCCAGGCTGCTCCAGCGCTATAAATAGAATGACCAGCAGAAGATAAGGAGTATTCTGATTGGACAGAATTGAGCCCATGCAGACGACTGGCATACACTGCTGTCCAAGGTGCACTGGAGCACCAATCCTAAATGATAAAAGATGCTGTGTGTTAAAATACTACTGTATGTGTAATTCTATTAGTCAGATAATTTTTAGAAATAAAGTATTGGGATGTCTAAACACCAATCCTAAATGATAAAAGACAGAGTGTGTTAAATACTACTATATGTGTAGTCCCATTTTGCAGAATATGTTTTATAAATAAAGTATTATTAGTCTGTCTAAACACATAGTGAATATGCTAAGTGAACCTTCATCCAACTTCTAATTTCTGATTAAAAAATCACTTACATAGTTCATACTTTAACTATTATGCGTTCAATTAGTAAAATATTTCTTTAAAATTTAATCTACTTTTGCTGTCTCTTTTATTTTAACTATACTTAAAAACTTTATTTTACTTTGAATGATTCGTCTCCCTTCTGTATTATTAATGTTAAAATTTACAAGGGTTTAGTGTTGTGGAGGAAAAACTGAAATAATCTTTAGGGGATTACCTGACAATAGTAATGAGAGAGATGCTGTGAGTAGCATGAGAGGAGCAGTGGTGACTCAGTGATGGGCAGGTTCATGTGACTGTGAAGGTTTATCATGTCAATCAACTCCTCGGGGTCAACGTGGCAGTCGGTCAGCTCTGAGTCGTTGTCCGAGGTGGCTGAGCAGTAGGAGAGGGTGCTGGCCAGGGATGAGATACTGGAGTTGGCAGAGATGTACTCATTGCTTCCATGTTTCAGCAGCCTCGTTTTTCTTTTCCTTTTTTCTTCAGCAGAAATTTTTTGCTGCGGGGCTCGTTTTATTGTGCTTGGGCAGCTGTCGTCATCTGAAAACAAGAGAAAAATTTGTTATCCAGTTCACAACAACATGTTTTGACAAATCATTTCATAAAGAACAATATTTATGTATGTATGTTGTGCAGCCTATGCTAATTTCAGAACAAAGAGAATGGAAAAAAGGGTTACTACCAGAAAATGGATAAAAAATTAACAGAAAATCGATCAGACAGAAAACTGTGTATGATTTTAACAGGAAATGGATAAAACAAAAGATAACGGTTAAGACAACAGATAACAAATAAGACAATAAGAAAACATGGTTATGATGTTAACTGAAATATGAACAAAAGTGAACAAAAAATGGATCAAACAATAGTGGAAACCGGATTTTAAAAAATAGAAAATGGATAAGATGTTAGCTAAAGGTGATAAGAAATTAATAGAAACTCAAATAAGATGTTACCAGAAAATGGAACTTTATAGACAGCATCCCAGGTGAGCGTAGCATTGCCATCCTCAGGGTCTGACTCATCAGCTTCATTGGCCGTGTAGTAGACATCACTCTCCATGCTGACTTTAGACATGAGGCGTCTCAGGCTGGGTGGTGAGAGCTGGGTGCTGTGGCTGCTGAAGTAGTTGGTGGTTGTGCTCGTTACGTCTGTGGGGGCGGTTTTACCTGACTTGCCCGCTGTTGGGCTCACTTGGCTTGACAACATCATGTTGGGTCTCTTTCTCTTCTTGGAATCTTTTCTCATTTCTGAAGTTTATAGTTAAACCATTTCACTCAGTAACCATTCTTTCTTTATATTTCTTCCCCAAATTATATAAAGTATAGGATGGATTGTTATACTTAGTTTTTTATGTAACTTCACATGTACAATAATTTTTGTTCACTCAACAATTTTTTTTTATTTTGAATATTTAAAACACATTAAAAAACTTGTTCGTTTTGGTTAATAAAAAGCCTTTTTAAAAATAAGGTCTTCAAGGAATATTTAAAGAAAAATATCAAAATTTCTACTTATATTTTTTTTACAACATATATTGTGGAATCTACATTTAAATATACTTTTTCCAACTACATTCTTTAAAAAAAACTTCTATATCTACTGAAAGTAATACGTAGGGTAAGTTCCCTTTTTAAACCTGACAGTCCATGTGACCAAGGCATATGAAGGGATAGCGTGGTCAGCACTATGCCCAGTCACCTTTACTTTCCATTAGAGCTGGGTGGACTCAGGGGCGCTCTACTGTCTCAAACCCGGATTAAAATTCTAGACTTTTGGGTTAGGAGTCTAGAAATGTACTGCCAAGCCACGCAGTCCCCTGATGTACTAAAAAGAGCATCACTTATATAAAGGTGAGCACCTACCAACAGCTGCCTGCTGCTGCGAGCCAGCTATTTTATCCGTGGATGGCAGTGAGCTCTGGCGTGTGAGCAGACTCTCCTTGCTGAACCTCCTGGCCTCCCCCAGCTTGTTGCCCACCAGGAGCATCTGGGTGTCACTGAAGGTGGACTTTGGTCTGGCCTCTTCTGTTGGGGTTTCATTGATTCCATCCAGCCTCACAAATGCTGAATTGTTCAACATTTATATTAATGTCTCATTTTATACACAACCTACATTCAATAATTTTTAAAAATTAAGATTTATATTAATGTCTCATTTTATACACAACCTACATCCAATAATTTAAAAAATAAAATAATAAAACAAGACACATTTTTACTTTTGTTTCGTCAATACAAAAATAGAGGATTGAAGAAAAAAGCCTAGATGTAGTTTTTACCTTCTTCATCCCCTGCTGGGCTGCCGAGTTCACTCATGTACCCCCTAGTGAAAGCAAACCCATTCATCTCCACTGATGTCTTGACTGGGGACAACCTCAGGGTTAAATGGCTGGTTTCAAACACAAGTTTCCCAGCATGCAACAGACTTTGGCCAAATCCTGGATCACTACCATCTTTACAGATCTAAATAGATTTAATTCATCATCACCATTACTTTTGAAAAAAATTTAACAAGAATTTTAAAATGTGAAGAAAATAAAGTTTGATGCTTTAAATTCAGATATGATAAATTTATATCAAAATAGGTCATAAAGGCAAGCTCTACCTGGGGTATGGCAGCAACCTGGTTTCCATCACGATGGCGTCTAAGCTTAAAGAAGGAGACGCCATTTTTATTCTTGCCAAAAAATGCACATCCACCTAAGCAGCCACATTTGCCTGCTACAGCTGATGGTGTAGGTGTTGGCAGTTCTGCCTCGGTCCACAGGAACCACAGGCGTTTTGTCTTTGTATCATGCAATCTCAAAAATCTGTTTTGGTTCTACAAATAACACAATTTTTATAATGCATCGCTAGTTGGTGTAATTTTGAACAGATCCCTTCCAACACTAAAAATTAAGAACGAAGAAGGACAGAGTATTAAATGTTCATTTGTTAAAATATGTTAAATACTTTTTTGTGTACTGACTACACAATCATTTTAATTAAAGATAATATTAGACATAGTAGTGTATATCATCCAGTTAATGAGCATGGAACCTCAACCAGGTGTTGGAAATTGTTGCAGTTACCTGATAAAGTTGAGGGTGGGCCAGAGCCATAGCAGCTTCCAACATAATGGGTCCCAGACTGAGCCCCCCAGCTTCTAGCCAGTTGTGCAGGTTTCTCTTGGGTGAGGTGCAGGAGACGTACTGCTTGAGCTCCACTTTCTCTATCATCCCAGTGATGCCAGCTCGTGTGCTGGGTCCATGCAGGTTACAGTTGGCCACACGCACAGGGTGTACCTTGAAATGGTCAAATTGTTTACATAATCATACAGGGGTGACTTTAGGCAAAACAAAAGAAAAATTGAAAATACAAGAATTTATTTCATTTCCAATAATTTAATACTAGTGACAAACAAATTGAAGAAAAAAAACTAAAAAATTTAATTATCAATTAAATCTTAAAAGTTTATTTGATAAATAATTCAAATTTCATAGTTTGAAGTTTAGTTTAAACATTAAGACTAAGTCATCAATGTCTGATGTAAACACCTCTTCAATGAATAACTACCATACGCACTGATGACTCTTAAGCATCTAAATGCTATTTTCTGTCTACACTAAACCTCAGGGACTCACCTGCACATTGAGAGCAGAGCCAGACTCCACCAGGAAAATGTTGACAAAATCAACAGAAAGTCTCGTCATTTCGTACTTGACTTCCTCTGAGCTTGGGCACAGAAAGGGCAAGGCTTTAGACTCATAGCACGCCTCTTGGGGGTCCATGTGCTGACACAGCTTGTAGGTGTGGGATGTCTGGAGTTTGTTCTCTGCGTTCTCAATCATCATGATAAATGTTTGAAGAAACTCTGCTATGTTTTGTAGCTAAAATATTTTAAAGGATACAGAAAAACAATTGATAAACTCTTTACAAATGACAGCTGTTATTATTTAATTGGTACCTAACATCAATTAGGAAAAGATAAATGCAAATATACATAATGTTGACACACTATTTAACATTATAAAACACCACATCTAAAATAGTGTACAAATAGTGGCTTTGTTTAAATATATTAATTATGTTTAAATGTTTAACAAAAAATGTTATGTTCATTTAGGTTTAAAAACAAGAAAACAGCGTGAGACCCAGTGTGTTGTGGTTCTCTGACCACACACAATCTGATGACACATAGAGAGCCAGTTACCTGAGGGGTGGTCAGTTTGCCAGTGAGCTCGCCCACAATGACCTCTATCAGCCAACCATACTCTAAAGTTTCACTGTCCAGAGGAAGACCTTCTAGGGAGAACATGGCATGGCCACGCACCTGTAGACCAGAGAGGGCCAGGTGTCCGTCCTTCAGGTGTTCCTGGTCAACATCTCTCTGGCAACAAACATTTGTCTTCATTTTAGACAAGGCAAGCATTATTTCAGTGGATGCATGTTACAATAATTAGTACAATTCAATAATCTCAAACTCAATTTTAGACGAGGCAAACATTAGTTCATAAGATGCATGTCACAAGAAATAGTACAATTGAATCATACCCAACTCAATTTTAGACAAGGCAATCATTAGTTCATAAGATGCATGTTACAAGAAATAGTACAATTCAATGATATCAAACTCAATTTTAGACAAGGCAATCATTAGTTCATAAGATGCATGTTACAAGAAATAGTACAATTCAATAATATCCAACTACAAAAGTTAAACTAACTCATACAATGAACTTAACTAGAAATTAATTATTTTTAAAAAGGAGTTAGACCAATTAGACTTTTTAAATCTTGCAGAAAAAACATGGTCCCTTCATTGGGTACAGAGGTTAGATAAGGAAAAATGTGTAGAAAGTGTGTAAACTTACAGAAATACCATCTTTAGCCAGCAGCACACAAGGGGACAACAGCAGCTGTAGTTTGGTTTCTCTGAATGATTTGTCCATCTCAAAACAAAGTCTTTCAACATATGCACTGGGGCATGGCTGGCCATCTGCTGTACAGCTCTTTAGTTGAGGAAAAAACAAATATGTCAAGCAACATCTGCCATAACACAATTTATCTTATAATCTTTGAATTGAGAAAAAGAAAATTAATGAGATTTTTTTTCTTATCATTAATGTATGACATAACAAAACTGTTGAAGTTTAGTTTCATTAAAATCATTAAAAATAAAAATCTTTTTAAAGAAAACAATCCAGAGCCTCAGCTTACATGTAAACAATGACCAACCTTGGCTAAATGAGCCTGAATATCGTGTAGGGTAACAGAGACAGTGACAGCAAAGGGACGATACACCCTGGAATCAAAGGCTTTTTCATCACTGTCAGGGTTTTCTACATGGACATAGCTGGCTTCTACATCCTTCATCTTCTGGGGATTCTCTACAAAATCTGTGGCCTTTTGAAACTCTCCCAGGTAGTTCTCCTGCACAGAAATATAACACAATTCAATTCAAAACATTAACTTGACATTTTTCAAAGAAATATAACACAAAACATAAAACTGACATTTTTCAAAGAAATATAACACAAAACATAAACTGACAGTTTGCAAAGAAATATAACACAAAACATAAACTGACATTTTTCAAAGAAATATAACACAAAACATAAACTGACAGTTTTCAAAGAAATATAACACAAAACATAAACTGACATTTTTCAACAAATGTAACAATTCAATTCAAAACATAAACTGACATTTTTTTTTAAATTGCAGTTTTAAAAACTATCGATTAAAAGTGTAATTTAAAGTTTGAAATAAGTTTTTACAATACTAGGAATGGTATAAAAAAATCTTGTAATGTAACTTATTTTAATATCTTTGTATTTCATTAAGATAACGTAAGATTGAATGACTCATAGTGAAACTAGCTTGTAGTGAATTTAGAACCGAATATAGACAAGCGTTCTCAACACATTATTTAAAGTAAAATACATTTTTAATTTGTTTCTTAGAATCAACTACAATGAAACCTTACCTTCAAATGAACCAGGTTTCTGAGCAGGGAGCCATACAGTATCAGAGTGGAGGGGGCAACCTCCAGCTCCACCTGGATGAGGTCAGGTTTCAGGAGTCCTGGGTCAAACAGCTTCTGCCCATCCCCCCCACTGCCAACATGTCCAGACTGGGAGGTCCTGGAGCAGCCAGGCTGCAGCTGTGAGAGGAGGTTGGACTCCTCCTCCATGAAGTCACCAGTCAGACTGAAGCTGGCCATGCCATCTGATGGGGTCTGTGACAGCAGAACAGGCATTGGGTAGTAGGTGTAGGTCACGGACAGGAAAACATAGGGTGTTTTCCAGCAGTCTACCCAGCCGTTGCTGTAGGCAAGGGAAAACATCTTAATTCAGCAAAAACAAATGTAGATTTAAAATATTTCTTTAGTTTTTAATAAAAAACTAGAACAATAGTAAAAAAAAAGTAAAAAAAAAAATTGCTAGATTTAAAAAAACTGAACTACTGATGTTTTAATGTTTGTAGAGTATTCCTAACTATCAAGTTTGAGTTTCCAAAGTTTTACAAAGTTTAAAAAAAGTAAAAAAAATTTTTTTAAATTATGTTATTTTAAATGCAGTCTCTAATTTTTAAAGAGCAAATAAACGGTGCACCTCTTGATAGTGGCGTTCCTCCATTCTTTGTTATTGCTGGAGAGAAATGTTTCACCTGTCTCATGACCTTCACGGTCCACTATCCTGATGTTTTCAGACAGGGCGATGAGAGCATGTTTCATGGTGTTGCTCTCAGGTAGGTACAGACGACAGAACACTGTCTCACCCTGAAACATTTACGGCTTTATTTTTTATCTTCACTCTCTTTAACTTGCTATCAGAAATTTTCAATGAAATTTAATGAAATAGTGAATTAAAAAACATGCCTTCTAAGGTGAAAGTTACTGTGTTAGACTTTACTTTATTGACCAAGGTAAAAGTGAATGTGTTTAACAAGTGAGATAGACTTTACCTTAATGACCAAGGTAACTGGTACAGTGCTGGGCACAAAGTCAATGAAAGGAAATGTGGCACACAGTTCAAATAGTTCTCCACAGAAAGCTATGTGGGCTGTTGAAGGAAGAAAAAGGACAAGATTTTTCTTTTGGCTGCTTTAATTTTAAAACTTTGGTTTCAGCAAGAGTATTTTTGCTTGGATGTAAATCAAATATTTTTTTAATGCTCTAATATTTGGTTTATGCCATTTCAATGTATAAAATATCAACTATTAATATCTAGAAAATTTGATCTTTTAGTGTTTTTAATTCAATTAGCCACAATATAATTTCCGTTAGTTTTAAATTATAGGTACTTAGGTGTGAAATTACAGTTAGTTGTGTATATAAGGAAGAATGAACAATTACAATGAGACCAATTAAATTTTCCAATGAGTAACCTACCATTTTCCTGATGCTGTGATGAGGTATCAACCCAGTTGTTTTCATTGGCTAATGTTAAAATCTCAAACTGTTTGACAACTAAATTTAATGTAAATGTATAAGGGACAAAACTGTAGATATCAGGGGCAGATTTTGATGACCAATCACCTATTAAATCTGTGAAGGACAAAAAATGCATATCAAATAAACTTACAAACTTGTTGGTTAATATACTTGTAAAAGTGTGCAAAAGAGAATCCGCCAGCCTTTACATTAAAATCAGTGCTTTAAAGTAAGTATAACATTTAATTAATTAATTTAATGATCCAGTTTCCAAAACAAACCTGAGAAGAAGTTTTTTAGATCATAAATAAGATAGACAAGAGCCTTGCAGGCTGTAAGATCACAGCGCCATTCTTGACAAGCATTCCATTCTTTAGGATAAGATACATTGACGTCAAACTAAAGAGTAAAAAACATTCAATTAGTTCCTTTTAAACAATCTTAATTTATTTATTTTTAAAATCATGTTTTTAAAATATTTAAACCTGATGAATACCAGCTTTAATTTTTTATCTTACATACTCATAAAAATTTAAATATGCCTAGATTTCACACGAACTGTAGAAAAACAATATTTTGTTTTTTTAAAGGATTTGCCTACCTCCAAGGTCTCACATTCTAGCAAAGATCTAAAAGCCATGCTTGTAGTAGCATCCACCAACATCAACTGCCCTTTGACCTTTGATACAAAGCCATTGTCCTCTATGATGTAGGGTATTGTGACTTCCACATAGGATCCTTTGCTAGCATTCATGTGTAGGGCTTGAGTTACCTACACAAATATTGTTTTATCCATAGAGACAAGCATTTTTGAAAAATATCAATGAGAACCATTAAACTGACTCACTGAGTTTTTAGTGAAAAGAATATCAATGGTGGAAATGGCGTTGATTGTCATCTTAACTTCAAGGGATTTGAACTGTCGCTTTTCCCCTGGCACTGCTTTCTTTGTAGGAACCAAAGGTTGATAATCAGGTGGGTAAAAAAATGACCAAATCAATTCTCTGAAAATATCAAATATGCAGTGACTTAAAACAATAAATGGCATATAATGTTCTAAAACAAAGTTTTAAAAGGAACGATTTTTTAAAATTCGTAATAAAGAGTGAATAAATCAATAAATATTTAATCAAGTTGATCATTACAGGCAGTGAACTGTTTTAGTTTATTCCGGTAGCTAGTGCAATCATTTTGTAAAGATGTGTAAAGACTATCAGTCAACATACCTTTGCCTGTCAACCCAAGGTCCATAGTTAAAATCTGTATTTTTGCCACACTTAATGTCCACACCAATACAGGGATAGGTCCTCTTGATTAGCACCTCACCATCTGCCATTTGTATCTGTTCCAGTTCATGCTGTACTATACCTGGTAGTTGGGATAGGGATCAAATCCTTGTTAGAACTATTCTCAAGCAAGCAATATACCTTATAGTTTACAGCTTTAAAATAATAATCTGTCACGACTTTAGTATCTAAACATGAAAGTCAACAAAACTTCAGATACTTTTGAATTTTATATTCTGCCAGATAATGATTTTATGGTAACAATCACAAAAAACCTCAGGACCTCAGATGTACTAACCTGGCTCATCTTGATAGTAGTATATATCTACATGGTTAGACAGCATCACAACAAAGCCTTCACCCATAAACCTTGGAGGTCTGTCAAAGAGAGAAAAAAAATATTAAGTTGTGATTAGTATGCTAAAACGAAATACTGCTTTTTAAGGGAGTACACTCAGTGTACAATATTGTGCTGTTTTCAAAGACACAAATACTATGATTTTAACAAAATAAAATAATCTCTCTAATGAAAGGGCCTTTGACTAACATATCTACTGTCATGTTTTAACAACATTCATGGTTTATAATCATAAAATCACAATTAAATAATGAATGATGAAATTATAAGTAGAATCTATCAATCAATTTTGTCAGCCAATGAAGCTTGACTTACTCATCTTGTACAGGGCCATTGTACTTGGGACTTGGCACAAGCATGAGTCTAGCATTCTCCATGTCACACTGCAGGATGTGCATAAACTGGTCAAAAACAGTGGACGCTGGCTTGGTTGTGTATACCATGTTACTCTTGTCAAATTTTAGCAAGCAACTGTAAGGCATCAGATAGTTTCCAAATATCCAGCGACCCTGAAGTTTAAAATAAATTTTAAATAAATTTTGGATTTGCCTATTTTTATCAAACGTTAAAGAAAATATAATGTAAAAACTTTATGCTTTCAATATGATTAAATCATGTAAAGATAAAAAGTTAGTTGCAGATGTACAAACTGAACAACTTTCTTAGCAAAACCAACAAACCCCTTACATACCGGGGGACTGAAGAGAGTTGAATAAAGTGAGCACTCTGCAGTGTGTTCAACAAAAAATACACTTTAACATGTTTAAACTATGTCAAATAAACCTATAATAACTTGAAATAACATCTTTTAAGATCTTGCAATTTATATAGCAGATGAGAGTGCTTCTCTTGATTTTTTTACTTACAGATGCAATTTCTATTTTAGTGACAGGAATCAGATCCCTCCAATGAATGTCCTTTAACCTGTGAGTATTAAAAACTTTAACATTAATTGTACAAAACAAAGTAACCTTCAGTGTAAGTTTAAAAACTAGGATGCATTGATTAAATGTTCACCTAAAATATGTTTCAGAATTTTTTAAATTTCAACTTACGAGCATCTTTTTTTGGTAACATTTATTTCTGGTGGTGTTTCATCAATAATTTCAATATTTTCCCCTTTGAAAAGTTTTTCTAATCGACCATATACTTGAGACTTATTATAAACATGAAATTCAAAGCCATCCAAGAAAACTGACATCCTAGTCTCCAGGTGGGATAAATCTGAGAATATAAACAAATAAAACATTAAAATTCAACATAAAGTAAATATAGGCATATATATGTAAGCAAATATAAGTATTTAATTAGTTATATAATTAGTTTAATTAGTTGCTGATATAATTATAGTCAACCTTCAGTGAGTTCTTTATACACGTAAGGTCTCCACCAGCGGAAAATGAGCCACCCATATTCAGCTCTGATAGAGAAATCCTCAGTGATAAGATGCACATCTCTGAACATAACTTTGCCAGATAGAACAGAGAAAGAGAAGGAACCTGGGAATAGTTTATGTCCTTGTTATAATAGCTTTCCAAATAGTAATATGATTAATAAGTACATTTCAAATTATGTGTGTAAAAAAAAGTAAAACATTTCACTTACCAAGTTTAATATGACCATATTTGACAAACTTGTTCAGAATGGCAGTAATAATGAGGCCTAAAACTCGACTGTTGTAATAAGTTAAATATATAGTCCAAGCCTGCGCTGCAACAATGGCTATAAGCATCCAATACACTGATGATTGTGGAAGCTCATTGTTCAGCCTATGGTAAAAAAGTAAAACATTGTGCATTAAATAATTGTATGATAAAATAATTTGATTTAGAGTGGTTTATCCTAACAGACTTAAAAGATTAAATATGAAAAGAGTTACACTATAAAGGTATAGAAGAAATATAACAACTTACCGGTCCATAAGAGAATCATTGGAAGTCTTCATTGTGTGGTTTATGTCTTGAGTAGATTAGGCCACTTATTTTTTGTGAAACTAAATTGATTTTTTAACTCAAACAATAAACACTGTTGCATGTCAAAATATCTTTGGGTCTTGATAAGGGAAACTGTTTTAATGATAAATTTGAAAGAGAAGAACACTAACAGTAAGCTCATCATTAATCACAGCAGAATAAAAATAACCTTGATGATATGGCATAACTATAATACTGTGATCATACTGTATTGTCCAGGGAATCACAAAAAATACCTAACTAGCTAAATACTATTTACTATATATGCACAGCCAACTAATATAGGCCTATAATTATTAAGACTCTCATGAATCTACCCAGCTCTGATGTCTACTTAACTCACGATAGGGTTAAGTAAAGATGACAGGGCATAGAAAAAAATAGTTGATTGCACCATTCCTTCATATGCTGTGGTCAAGAAACTGAGCCTGAGGAACACTACTTCATCTGCCCTATGAATGGATCATCAGGTATGAAAGGGGAACTTAACTTGTATTCAACTGGGAATAGAGTTGGTCTTTTTAATCATAATATAATATCTTTAAAGTTTAGCTGCTAAATTTATCCCTAACTAATGGTGGCACCCCCCCCCCCCCCCCCTAGCTACTCCTCTGTTGTGATAAGTTAATAAATATTAAATAAATAAACTAGGTCTAGGTCCTAGTCAGTTTCTACTACAGTTTCTAGTTTCTAGTCTGTCTAGCTAGCTACTACTTGATCTAGATCTTCTAGCTAGAATCTAGATTCTAGATGATGTCTTGTCTAGATCTAGCTGATCTAGATCTAGATCTAGAATCTAGACTTATGTCGGATGTTCTAGATCTAGACAGTCTAGATCTGATCTAGATCTAGTAAACTAGATTTATGTTTTTACTAACTTACTCTAAAGTAAAGACTCCGGTAAAGAGGTAGATCTAGATCTACTGATCTAGCTCTAGAATATTTTATATAGGTCCCCTAAATCTATCTAGAATCTAGAATATCTAGAATCTAGGTTCTATCTACTCTTATATCGTCTAGATTCAGTGTAGTGTAGATTCCATTAATTATATTATGTTTTGTTTTACCTCTTCTACTCGAGAAAAACCGATTGCTTTTAACCCGGAAATAATTTTCATAGGTGCTCAAACCTAAATCAATAAAATATTCGTACTTTTAAACTGAATATATGCTGAAAGCCTAGATCTAGATTCTAGAATCTATATACTATATGTCCGTAGACTTTAAAATTATCGAATACATTAGTTTAATTTTTATAACTAATTATTTTGTGAATTCAATAAAATAAACATTTTACGCTCGTGAAATATGTTCAACGAAATATTAACATAAATTCTAAATTAAAGGGTATGCGGCAGTAGCGTACGCAGGGGGGGAGCAGGGGGAGCGGCCGCTCCCCCTCTGGCCATTTTTAGCAAAGTGGCGCCTTTTTAGAAACTTTTTTTAACTCAAATTTTTAAACATTTATATTTGTTAAAAAATTATTTTTGGTCGGTACATTTTAAACGTAAATCTCTGTGCATATTGTTTTTTCAATTACCAGTAAAAGTTGTGTGAGCAGTACAGTGATCTAAACCATACCTTCTCATTATGTTAAAAAATTATCCTTAAAGAACACAAAAAGTCCGTAGCTAATAAAAAGTGCGTAATCTGAAATGTAAGACCGATATTTTAGTTATATGTAGGCTATCATTCCGAAAACCAAACTTCTATATTGAAAAGCTGGCTTATATACCAACTCTGATTTAAAAACTTTCATTATGCAGTAATAGTTTAGCATTTATAATGACAATATATTTAATTCTGACTGTAGACAAAATATTTTTGTAAAAACGAAAAGTGTTACGCTACTTCATTAGATTCAAAAGTAATTATTGATTTGTTTTGATATTTATAATAAAATGTGTAGACATATACATATTTATATTAATATATTGATTATTTCCCCTTTTCGCTAGTCTAAATAGATGTCCCAAGAATTATTATGTAATTTTCGTTACAAGAATTACGAAACAGATTATGCCTCGTTCATTGTTTTTGGTTGTAGTGTGTTTATATATATATATATATATATATATATATATATATATATATATATATATATATATATATATATATATATATATATATATATATATATATTGTTTAGAGTGATACCATATTTTTTTTTATTCGTCGGCCTACATTGTGTTTTTTTTATTTCTTCAGAGTGCTAATTCAAATTTATTTTACATCACATCGAAGCAATAACATACAGCTAATATATACATATATATATATATATATATATATATATATATATATATATATATATATATATATATATATATATATATATATATTAATAGTATATATATATATATATATATATATATACTTATATAGAAAATATTACGAATTCGGCGCCTTTTTTTGCTATTTCCGCTCCCCCTACAACGAAAACCTGGATACGCCTCTGGTATGCGGCAGTCGACAGTTACATCAATGCCAATTTAATATAAAATATATCAAAGTAGTTTAAGATATAAAATCTAGATTTAGTTTAAATCTTAGATCAAATGGGACATTCCAGACAATTTGCGCAATTCCTAAGAACAAACTCTAAACAATTGCAGTGGCGTAAGCTAAAGGGGTTAACCCCCCCCCCCCTCCTGGACCTCAAAATAATTGAAAATAACCTATGTCTTACAAATTTGCGACGGCGCGTTTCTTTCGCTTTCAATGTTATGATTTCAAAATGCTAAATGTCATAAAAAAACCACACCCCTCTCCCCCGATACCAATTTTATGACATTTGCACTTTTTTCGGACTAAATAAACTTTTACAGCCCTATTACCTAATCTTTTCTGAAACTGTCATGCATTATTTTTTGCCTTCGCGGCCAAATGACTGTACTCTTAAGTAGGAATATAGTTTCGACTGTTATTTAAGTTTTTGTACTGGTGTCATCCATGCCAGGAATGGGCTGCAACCATAAATTTCCACTACTTAGGCCTATGTTTGGTTTTTGTGGTGTCGCCATCGAGTTCTCTCGCCGTGTATCGTGTTTTTAGGGAAAACACTGCCTTATCGGAGGTTTACGATTAGTGACAGTCTGGTGACGAATCATAACTGTTTATGTAAAATGTAACAGGAAATTAACATGTCACTTGCTGGCGAACAGATTAGAACATTTTCTAAGGCAGTTTTAATTTAACATATGCCTAGATGTCTGGTATTTTACTGGAACTATGCTCTCCTATACTTCCTCAAGTCTCCGTGCCATTTCTCTGTCTGCGGCAATTTACAAAAGCATAAAACTGGAATGTCAAGAACAATTCTGTGGAAACACGAGTGCCATTTCGGCGGCAATTGTTTTTCCAATCCTCAACTTACATCGTTACCTATATTTCATTCTGCACGCTAAAAAGTGATCGAAGAGAGACCTTCTTTAAAGCCATTAGTTCAGTGCTAGCGGAGACTTGGTGTTACACTGAATCATATGTGATGTTAGTTGTATGAAAGAGAATTAGGGTTGCTAGCAGACCCAGTCGTCAAGCTGATCCTACAAAGTTTATTAAAAAACACTTCGTGTACTGTTTGGTAAATGTCTTAAAATTTCAAAGACGAAAATATCACATATCACATAATTTGCCTATGTGATGTACAGAAGCATTAACAAAAATTAAGGGCCTCTAGTCTTACGGTTGTAGCTGTAATAGTGTTGGTAGAATGTGAGAGATAGTAGCAAACCAGTGTATGGACCTGTGACAGTCGAGGTTTTAGTGTTATTATTGTGGTGCAGTCTTTCTTCTTCGTTCTTAATTTTAAGTGCTGGAAGGGATTGAACTCGAGACTTTGGTTTGGCAACCATGAGCTTTTACCTACTCGACGACCTCTTTCCAACACAATTAAGATTTACGTGTCAACTGGTTATGCGCCGTTGAGGCCGTTGACTCCGATTTCAGCCTGCTTTTCTTTTTGGATTTGCTTCCATAGCCTTTGTCCAACCAAGAACAAACTACAAGGAAGCAGTTGTTTGATGTTGTAGTTGTCTCTCCTAGAAGAGTGGCTGTCCCCAGCTAACGAGCCTCATCTGCCCGAGGGTTCGAACTCGAGACTTTTCGGTTTAGCAACCATGAGCTGTACCGACTCGACCACGATCAAATAAAGTGATCTCTAGCCTGCAATCAGAGTGTCTTTTTAATTTGACGAACCAGCGTCAAAGTCGTGTGGGCCAGTCTAGCAGGCTCAATGCCTAGACATTAGATGAACACATAACACACGACCAGCATGTCGCACTTCTGTCACAAACACGGTGGACTAGCCCGCCGGTCAACCGGTAAAAAATTCCAGTGGGCCCCAGGAAAAAAAATCTCGGTGGGCCCACGTGAACGGCGCTGCAGTAGTGATGTTAGTGTATTGATTTAAAAAAAAACAAAAAAAAAAACAAACAATTTCTTGTATTTCTCCATTTAATCATATTTCTATTTCTTCATACCAATGTGTAAAATTGAATTCGGCACAATGGAAATTTTAATCTAGAGTTGGGACCTTTTTGAATGAAAATGTCCCGGATCCCTGGTCACTCACTCATTTTCACATTTATAATTTAGTGCCTACACGCCTAAATATTTAGACAAATCAAACAAATTAATTATTCCTTCACAATAATACAATTCAATATGTGGTGTTACGTTAATGTTCATTTTCGGAATTTAGTATTGCCTATAATTAAAGAAAATGAATACAACCCCAAAGTACAACACAAGTTGATAGAGAATATTTTTCTGACATTTGATTTTTCTATGATATTTAAACTCTAAAGAGTGTAATATTTGAAATTATAAACATACTGAGAATCTGTGCACTAATAATACTAAGACAGTGATTTGCAATATGTATTCTAAGGTAAGAAAAATGTTATTTTGGATTTCGATTGAAAATGAAACTGCCCGATCAGTTACTAGATCTAGATCTAGATTCTAGATCTATCAGGATTCAGCTAAAATCTGCTAATCTAGCTAATGCATCACTATCACTCAACAACTCCAACGTTACTCTTCATGTAAAAAAAGTGGGGGAGGGGGTCTATGCTCTATAGGTCTTACTTTAAGATACTAAGATCTAGATCAAGATCTATATTATTAACTTAGTCAACAATCATACTCATACTCAAGTACTCACTGAACCAACACATCGGCCATCAACTCATCTGATCTATAAATACTATAAATTCTATAGGCCTACTCAACTAGATCTAGAATCTATATCTAATTCTATTCTATACTGAAACAATGGCTTGAGAATAGTCAGTCTTTAAAGTCTAAAGTAAAGTCTACTAAAAGATGTTTTTGGTCCATGTCAGCAATCATCATCTTTTCCTTTTTGTGCTCAAGACGTATAGACTCTAGTATGGGACAGATGAAGTAGAGCTAATCTAATCTGTTTCAATAACCTTGATTTTTGGCATAGAGGAGGATTATTGATTATGTGGTCAGCACTATACTTAACTATACTAGACTATACCCAGCTGCCTTAGCTTTCCTACTCTCTAGATCTAGGCCTAACATGAATTAGGTACCCATGAGAGCTAGGTGGACTCAGAATGAGCTTGGAATCTTAAACTCAAGACTTTTGGTTAGCAGTTAGATCTATAAGCCTTACCAGCCGACCACGCTGTCCATTCCATGTCAGTAATTGTAATGAACACTAATGATCAGGTCCCTGTCAACTAACTGGGATGATGCCATTCAAACAGTAGGCTGCTACTACACAACAGTAAAACAGTATCACCTCTTCTTTTACTGGTTCACTAGTTATTTCATTTACTCTTGCATTAAGTTACAGTTAGTTAATGTAAAATGTAGTGTTGATAGCTGTAGACTGTAGATGAAATTGAATGTAATTATCATTATCTCTAGTCTAGATCTCAATAGTGAAAAGTTTTAACTTAAAACGATAACAACAAACTACAAATAAAAATTGTTATTCAACTTGTGTGAATCTGCATGATGATGGTAGCCAGTTATGTTAATTATAATATTTAATAACTAAGTGATATCTAAAAGCTTAACTAAGAGTTGATAACTTAATTACTTTAAAATAAAGTTTTCATCAAATTAATTTCAATTCATTCAACAGTACAGGTGAATTAAGTATTTCTAATCTAAAATTACTGTTGAGTAAAACTGTAAGTTGGCATTATTTTGTAGTAGTTTCTTTTTGTTTATTATTTGTGCGTGTTATGTTTTTATTATAGACTTTAATTCATATTTAACCTTTGATATAAATACAATAAATAGCTTAAATAAAGTGGCTATACTTCATGTTTTAAATACTTATATTATTGTTTATTTAAGGCATCCATTGAGTTATTTACCTCATAATAATGGACAAAAACCTAGAATTGTCATCAAGTTCACCTAGTGGATTAAAACCTTCAGTGGAACGAGAACGTATCAATCTAAGCTCTCCAAGTGTCAGCTCTAAAGGGTCACTGAGTGCAGGTTCACCTTCTAAGTCCTTGTGTTCCTCAACTTCAACCTCATCAGAAAATATGCATACTGCTTTTGATACTAAGGTAACAGCAAATGTGCTTTATTATTCTTTTATATATTTATTAGTATAATTTAGTATAATGAAGTTACTGTTTTCTAGATTTTTCTTGAAACAATTTCAGCCTCTGAGAGATGCCACAAAGGCAATACAGAATGAAGAATGTCCACTTTTGGAGGGAGAAACCATGAAAGGGAGAGGTGTGGCAGATATGAGTAAAATTAATTTGAATTATTGCTCTTTTGTTTACAGTTTTGGGTACTTATCAAAAGTTGACTGGGCATACTTGATGCAAATTTTGACTGAGTCAATATCTCCTTCTGACAGTGATAGAAGAGAATATTGCATTTCAAGCTGGTTTTAATACAGATTTTTAAAATACATTTTATCAATACAAACGACAAAAAAAATGTAAGTATATTTATACTTGATAATTCTTTTTTTTTATTGAAGCCACTGAAGTAACCTACCTCTGCCCATATAGTGGGCCAATAAGAGGTGTGCTGAATGTCACCAGCTATAAACTCTTCTTTAAAAGTGTTGAGAAGGTGAGAATACATGACAATAGTATATATAAACAATTACATTATTTCATATATTTTGCTGTGCTCATTGTTTGAAATGTATATTATTATCTCATTTTTAAAAAAAACATCTTTGTGTAATGTAAATTCTTCTTTTTATGAAGTATAACTCTGGTTTTACTTGTAGGAACCACCTTTCATTCTTGACGTTCCCTTGGGTCTTGCCAGTTTAGTGGAAAAAATCGGAGGGGCAACAAGCAGGGGAGTGAATTCATATGGAATTGATATAATATGTAAAGTATGTTTTCTTTAAATTACACATAATCTTATTTCATATTGTTATGAATTTTGAAGACTATTTAATGAATTTATAGCTTTTGCAATGAAATTTTTATTTTCAGGCTTATCATAAGGCTTTGATTATTAAGATTTTTAATTTGATATAACGTTATAAAGAATGTACCTATTTATAGGATATGCGAAATTTGCGCTTTGCACACAAGCAAGAAAACCACTCAAGACGACAAGTATTTGAAAGAATTCAACAGTATGCATTTCCACTCACAAATAAATTGGTATGTTAGATCATAATTTTGAAAGAATTTTAAAATATGTTTTTCACTCACAAAATAGTATGTTATAGTTTGACACTAATTGTTTTGCCTTTATAATAAGCTCTTAGTTAATTAAACAATGTTAAATTTATTGACAACAGCTCATTGTGTTTTCATTTTTCCAGAACTTTTTTGCCTTTGAATTTAAAGAAAAGTATGGTCAAGAAAATGGATGGAGAATATTTGATCCTATTAAAGAATTTAAGAGAATGGTAATATTTATAATCAAATTTTTTAATTTGTGGATTGATTATCCAGAACTATTGCTTGCAGTTTATAACACATTGAATTGGATGGATGTTGTAGTGACTCCACTGTAATGTTCTGTTTGAAGTATAAACAAGTCATTAAGCAACTCTACACATTATTTTAACTTCCAATTTCAGGGAATTCCCAATGAGAGCTGGAGGGTGAGCAAAGCAAATGAAACATACCAGCTCTGTGACAGTTACCCTGCCTTGGTAGGTTGTTTACTTGTTCATTAAAGATCATTCTAATTCTTTACAAATTTTGACAGACAGGAGCTTTTTTTTTTAAAGATACTTTTTTTCATTACTAAAGTGCAAATGGTTTTTATCTGCTTATATTTATGGAAAATGTATAGAATTTTAAAACATGTTTTCTTTTAATGTGTTTTTGCATCAATTTATATATTAAAAATGGACATAGTTTAGCTTTATTAATTAAAATTAAGACTGAGTAGAAACAGTTAAATCAATTAGATTGAGTGAGTCACCCTCACTTAATAGCTAACTCTTGGACTTTAAACTGCTCTTTTCCTGATGTTGACTAATTAGCATTAGATTTAAAAACTTGTGCTTAAATATTTAACAAGAGTAACAAGTCATAAAATTTTAATAATTAACATAAATATTAAATGTTAACCAATAAAGGGAAACAAATTGTTTATCACTCCCCGTGTCCTTTTTTCCAACTCCACCTGATCTGAGTAATATTACTGAAATATGTTTTCATATAAGAGAAAATATGTTTTGATATCACTTTTATGTTGATGTACATTTCAGATTGCTGTGCCAAAACAGGTCACAGATCAAGATCTTTTTAAAGTTGCAGAGTTTAGAAGTAGACAAAGGATTCCTGTAAGTTTTCATTCCACTCAGCCCACTTAATTGAGTAAAATTGGACACAAATTTGTTTTTGTTGGTTATTTTTTTTTAAATGCATCCAACTTCACATAAGTATCTGTGTGTAGTGAATTGCTGTTGGTTAAATTTAAATATTGCTAGGAATCATGTTCTATATCAGTGGTTCTTTACCTTTTTTGAGGTACCGAACCCTATCATTTACATCTACGCATTTACCAAACCCTTCATAATAGTACTGTCGTCCACACCGACAAAATCATTAAGAATCCTATGAGTCGGGTGTGTGTCTTGACCTCCACCAAACCCCTGAGACTGACATCAAACCCTTGGGGTTCGATGAACCCCAGGTTAAGAACCACTGTTATAGATGTTAAGGGGCTTCCTGATTTCCATAAAGTAGTTTAGTTTCACCTCTGAATGATGTATCTAACTTATCTCTGGTTTCAGGTCTTGTCCTGGATTCACCCAAGGAGCCAAGCATCCATCACCAGGTCTTCCCAGCCTCTTGTTGGGATGACCAGTAAAACAAACAAGGATGACGAGCGATACATCCAGATGATCATGGACACAAATGCCCAGTCACATAAGCTCTATATCATGGATGCTCGGCCCTCTGTCAATGCAGTTGCTAATAAAGTGAGTTTAGTAAAATACCTGCCCTACTTTTACTATTTGTATTATTGTTTTATGGGATCTTCTATTTTTAATGATATTAGTTTAGTACCATTAAAATACCTATTTGTAATATAAATGCTTTAGTAAAACTAGGGTAATTTCTAACATGTATGTGTGATTGTTTATTTTTGACAGGCCAGAGGTGGAGGCTTTGAAAGTGAGGATGCTTATCAGAATGCTGAACTTATCTTCCTTGACATTCACAACATTCATGTCATGAGAGAAAGGTTATTGGAAGTTTTAAAAACCCATTTATAATTTCTTCCTATGCTGCTAATATGTGTTAAATGTTTTTGTTGCTTATGTCAAATGAAACTATTTCCTCTCTTCTTTGAAATGTTCAATCAACAAATTCTCACAATTTCAGTTTACGCAAATTGAAGGAAGTATGTTTTCCTACAATAGATGACACCCATTGGCTTTCAAATATAGAATCTACCCACTGGTTAGAACACATTAAGGTAGATCTAGCATGTAATAAAAAATTTAAAAAACTATTAACATTTAGTTGCTGATTATACATTTGCTGGAGTTGTTTCTGTGACATTTGCATGTGAGGGTAGGGTCAGCACCATGCCAAGCCAACTTTTCTCATAGAAACAGGTAAACTCGACTTCACTTGCCCCATGAACCACCAGGTTCGAAAAGGGAACTTAACATATGAATCTTCCTTTCGACAAAACAGAATTTATTATTTAATGTTCAGATTTTGGAACAGATTTACAACATCCTAACATTTTTTTAAACAGATAATTCTTGCTGGCGCCTTAAAGATAGCTGATAAAGTTGAAAGCAATAAGACTTCAGTTTTAGTACACTGTAGTGATGGCTGGGACAGAACTGCTCAGGTCAGCCCAAATTTTAAATACAGCTTGCAAATGTTGGAACTTGATTATCATGCAAAAATATTTAGACAGCCTTTTTACTCCATGTAAAATATAGTGTTGATTGCGTAATATAGAATATCAAAACCTTTCAGTTAACATCTCTTGCTATGCTGATGTTAGACCCATACTATCGAACCATAAGAGGTTTTGAAGTTCTGATTGAGCAAGAATGGCTTAGTTTTGGTCACAAGTTTAAAACAGTAAGTTTTTTAATACAACTTTTAGTTCCATTATTATAAGTTAATACTTGCTGGGTTTTTTTTTTTTTGTTGATTCTTTTGTGGGCACACATTTTCTATTTCCTGGTTATTTTTTATTCTTAACTCACCAACTGTATCTAGTTTTTTTCTATTTTCTTTGAGTCTGTGTGAACTTTCTCTTGTCTTTTCTAACTGAACTCTATATCTATTTATCTTGTGGACCTATCTAACCACTTGGTTTCTTTTCTAGGAAAACTCTTATAGAGTTTTTATTTGCTAATGATTCTGTGGTAGCTAATTTAAAGCTACTTTGGCATGGAATTTTTAACAACATAAGGCATACCTTCTTCATAACTCAATGTATTTACTTTATTGATTTTGCTATGAAAGCCTTGATCTTTTAACTTACATGTTAAAAAAATAGTTTTGGTTGCTGCTGACATTTTTAAAAATTTAGCTGATGTAATTTTCATTCCTCTAAGAATCTGATAAGCTAAACATATGTTGCTACTAGAGTTAAATTAGACAATTGTTACCTACAGCGTGTTGGCCACGGTGAAGACAAACACTCAGATGCTGATAGATCACCTGTGTTTTTACAGTTTGTTGATTGTGTTTGGCAGATGACGCAGCAGGTAAAAATTGTTTTGTTTCATTAAGATTCAATGTGTTTTATGAACCAAAATAGAAAAAGTATGCAATAACTACTGAGAATTTTAATATTACATATTTTAAAAATATTTTTTTGTTGTAATTAGTACAGGAACATTGAAACAAAAGTATGTATTAGTTACGATTATAAAAAAATTGGCATTCTCATTTTTGGCAATAATTCTGTTCAATGGTAAAATAATTTTAGTTTTAGTTTATAAAAATATTTTAGAAACCATGTGTTATTGGAATGTGAAAGTCATATAACTGGATGGAGTCAATTAAAATGTGGAAACCGCTTTAAATTTCAACTACAAAACATGTTCATTTTCAATTTATTTTCTACTTCTTAGATCTTAGTAGACTAAAACTTAGCTTAGTACTTAAAATAAAAGCTTAAGCGAATTCAACTAGGAAGTTGTTTTTATTAATTCAATTTTTTTTTTCAGTTCCCAAATGCCTTTGAATTCAATGAACATTTCCTGATAACTATATTAGATCACCTGTACAGCTGTTTGTTTGGTACTTTTCTTTATAATTGTGAAAGGGAAAGAATTAAAGAGGTAAGTTGTTGTTCTTCCATTATTATTTTCCTTCCTTAAAATATAAGTACAGAAAATTTAAATGTACAGCTTGTGATGATCGTATCTATGTTTTGTTTTCCAGCGTGTGCCTGAGTTGACCGTTTCACTATGGTCATTCATCAACTGTCAACTGGAAGAATTCACAAACCCCCTGTATGTTGCCCACATCCATCAGCATGTTCTGTTTCCTGTAGCCAGTGTCCGGCGAATGGAGGTTTGGACTGGCTACTACTGTCGCTGGAATCCAAGGATGCGGCCACAGGTTTGTGTTTGAAACTTAGTAACATTATCTATACTTTCAGCTCGTTTTTTTTAATTGGATAGAAAGAGTGGAGAATGTAGCAGTTACAGTTAAATAAATTGGATAAAAAATGGGGTGGGGAATTTACGCTTGCATGAAAATAAAATTTGCGTAGTTTTGTTTGCACTTTTGACCTGTTTTTTATGAATTATCCTATTTTTAAAATGTTAATTTAGGAACCAATTCATATTCGGAATCGTGAGCTGTTGGTGTTGAAAACACAACTGCAAAGAAAAGTTGAAGAGTTGCAGCGAGAGCTGTCAGCTCGCAATGCTCGTCTCAATCTGCAGTCATCACCTCAGAGGGTTCCTGCTCCCATTGATGTATATCAGCAGTGATATATTCCACTTACTGTGTTAATGTTGTTTCTTAAGTTAAATATTGTACATGTAAACCTGCATAAACAATTAATTTTAAGTTGAATGTTATCTTGTTAGAACTCAACCACATTTTAATGAGCCTGGACATTCTTCTGTCCTCTATACATCATATCTAGTTTTATACTCCTTTTAAAAATGTAATTCTGTTATTCTATAGGTTAACTAGTTAATATGTTCTGTTTTAGCCTGTACAGATTCCACTTAAACATTGAGATGTACATTATGTATTGCACGATTAATCACACGAGAAATTATAGTATTGACTTTTTACTATTATTGTATTTCAAAGGCAGTTAGTTTTAAGTGATAAAATGCGCTTTTTGAAATAGAATTAAATGTAGCATTCCATGCCTATGATGAAACTTCAAATTTGTTAATATAGTCATAGGCTCATTGAAATCTATTATTGATTTAAAGGCTTGAAAATTGATTTCTGGACAATTATACATTTTTATCAATATTTAACTTTTTCTGTGTGGGTGTTCAGTCTGTCCTTGAAACTTAAGTAAATCTAATTTAAGAAATGATTGTATGTGATACTGATAAAAATGTTTTCATTTTGTCACCGTGGTTAAGCAATAAAAATAAACATTTAAAAAATTGTATAGTTGTATAGATCAATACTGGAGTAAACTGAACATTAATTCTATGTAAATTTATGTTTTAAATGACAGACATCTAAACGATTTCAGATTTTGTCTGAATTCTTAAGTATAAAGTACTTTTTATAGGCTTGTAATTTATAGAATTTACTGTAATCATTAAATTATTTTAACTGCACTTAAATTGTTCACAACTTCAGACATTTGTCAAAGGAGTCAAGGACTCGATACAATAATTTGAAACATAATTTTTTTTGTCTTATACATTTCTAATAAAAATAAATGAATATTTCAATAGTGTTTTAGTAGTTAAATAAATATTAGAATTAAGTGTTTAAACCTTTAAAGTTTCCCTTATTTTTGTTCAAGAATTACTATTTGTATACCCTTGCTAAGTCTGTTTTAAGGCTTAACAAATCCAGACCTTCAAAATATTATTCTATGCATCTGTCATTGTTTAAAGAATAAAGAAGCATGTTTGTTTTCTAAACAGGGTCTCTTTCCTTCAAAAAGAAGTCTACTATTTTGCTTATGGATTTTATACATTAAAGTATTACATGAAACAGGATGTCCTTTAAAGCTGTCAAATAAAATTTAAGATTCTATATAACATCTGTGTTTTTGTTTCACTAAAGAATAACTGGCAGGACAAAAAGTACATTCCCAACTAAAAAATCCAATGCAAGAGGAGTTCTTTTAGGCAATTTATTAAGAAATATAAAATGTGAAACAAATGCACACATAAGTTTAGCATTTAACAAGTCTGAAGCAGCAAGTTAAGCTCTTTAAAAAAAACAAATACAATTCATCGGCTGACTTTTCACATGGTCAGTTCAGCTTTAACATACCACTTGTTACCAATTATTGAGCAAAGACAATTGTTTAAACCTTTATAATAGCTGAACTCTGTTATGAAATATTAAAATATCAGGTCAAGAATTTATGAACAATAATGAATTTTTTTTTTTTAAACTTCAGTAAATTATGAAAATAGCTTTAGATCTTTGAAGATAATTTATATGAATATATGTATTGAAAAAGAAAGCAATCAAGCATTTTGTCAAGCTTGCAAATCAATATTGCTTGTGCAGCAACCAGACAACTAAAATGTGATGTACAAAAACAATAAACACATAGTTAATTCAAAACTTATGGCATAATACACAATGGAATGTTTTAAATTGGCTTAGAGCATTGTCAAGGCTTCATATTTTATAAAAAGTAATTAGACATTTGCTTCAGTGTAAAAAATTTTTTTTTGCAAATTTCCAGATAGTGGAAAATTAAATTTAAAGCTATAAAATTTATTAAAAGTAAAAAAGTAGTGCATAGTTAATTGATCATTTTGATATTTTTTATACATTATTTTTAATTTGTTTACAACATACCATAAAGTTTTTTAAATTTACAATGTGCATGAGCACCTGATACAAATACATATAATTTAAGAAACAATGACATGGGTAGTTAAGGCTAAAACTGACAACACAGCCAACAGTTTACATGAAGTAAAAGAGTATTGAGAAAGCTGATGGTGAACTGCATTAATTCAGTGCATATAACCTGCGCTCCAGCTAATTAGAGATCAGCTGTCTTTTACAGTATCAAATTATGGTGTTCAGAAATTATGAACTTTTGGTAGTAAGAAAACAAGCACTTACTAACAAGTTAGGAATGGGGTTAAGTGTAATTTTAAAAGATGTACTTTTAATAATCACAGGAATATATTTAAAACATCACATTTAAACAATGTTTAAAAAGTTAAGTACTTTAATTTAAAATTTAAAAAATTAACTTTACAGATAAAAAATAGTTTTGCTAATAAGATGATGTCAATAGAAGTTGCTTTACTTTTGTAAATGTTTTAAAATGTTTTTATGAATTGTAAAGTATATATTTTTGGCGAATTTAGTTTTTCTATATCCTATAGAATTAAATAAATATTAAATAAATAGTCAAGAAAAAACTTTTTGAATGAATATACATAAAACTTTTCAAACATGTCCCTCATTTGTTCTGTTGTTCAACAAAATTAATTAAAACCATTCAATATATATAAATTGAAAAAGAAAATGGGAAACTGATAAAATGCAATCAAATTTTACAGTGGCGTGGCTGTCATAAGAAAGCAACTGGTTGGCTCCACATAGATGACAAACTGCTGAGTCAGCTGGTATTTCCCAATGGGTTTGTTTTCAAACACTTCTGTCAGGGAGTATCCATTCTTGTTGGAGAAGCCTAAATCAGCAAAGGAGGTCTTGAATGGGACGGGTGTGCCTTCATTGTTTTTGTTCAGAACACCAATGGCTAGAGATCCAGTTGAGAGTTTCTTGACCCAAACGGAAATTGACCCAGGGACCTGCAGAATTTAAAGGAACCAAATTACATTCATATATCTGCCTCAAGTTAATTATTTCTATTTGACAGTTTGTATGTTGTACTAAGGTCAGGAGTGATTAGCTGATTGTCTATAGAAAACATGTGTTGGAATTTTTTTTTTAAATTAGCAAGTGAAGATATATGAAAGTTACAACTCAAGAAAAATGAGGAACATTGTTTGTACTAAGTAGATATGGCAATAAAATAATTTAAAAATTGAGTACCTCAAACAAACGAACAGCCTGATTCCCAAGGGGGTCTTGATTGATGGCAATAACATTTTTGTTCTGAAGTATAGCCTTGGCTTGTGGATCCACACTTCTAAGATCTACAGACATCATCAGTGGAGAGGCCCAGAGAGCCCACAAGGCAAACTGTGCTTTTTGCTGGTAGTAGCTCAAGCCAAAGTCTCCCACAACAAGCTAAAACATTAGACAGTAGAAGACATGTCCATTAGCTGAGACATAAACCAAAGATGGCTCAATATTTCATTAGATGTGACAAATAGATATGGGATGAAATTATAACTATGCAAAGTTTTATTTTAAATGTTTGAAATAAATGGGTGGGTGGGTAGAAAATTTGAAATTAGAGGACAAAGACACTGATGTTATATACAAAATATGTTGTAAATGACATCATGTATTTGTAAGGTTAAGAAATTTCTAGTTTAGACTAACATGTTACAGAGAAACATGAAAAGGAATTAATGAAAATATACTGCAGTTTGTGAAACATTAAATGTTGTTGCAAACATTGTGTTATATTATAAACTTAATTTATATAAAAGAAACCCTTTACAGTAAGAATTCCTTTTTTTTTTATCTTTGACTGGAAAAATAAAAAGTGAAATAAAATAAACAGGTACCATAAGAAACATCTTGACAAATTGCTTACCATATCTGGATCATTCCATGCTCCTGGTTTGGCATAATAGCTGAAATTTCCTTCATTGTTACCATAAAAATCTACAATGCTTAGAACACTATCCCAAGAATCAGTGACATCACCATAATTTCTCCACAAATTGCAAGTCTTTGCAATGTCTGAATACTTAGACTATTTTGAAAAAGGCAAATACTTGTTTATGGAGAAAACAACTGAACAATGGCAAGTTACTTACGGTGCTGGAACATGCTAAAGAAGCTTCCCGGTCTACACAATATGATGTGCTTTCGTGTGAGAATTTTAAACAAAAATTGCAATAAATAATACACTGTTCAAGAGTTGATCTGAATTTACCCATGCCAATATTACAAGAATCAGCATCAACAACTTATTTACATCAAACACAAAATATGTATTTACAAATATGATTAGCATTAGTTTCATAAAGAGATTTTAAGAATATTCCAGATGTTTGAGTGCTATTTTTAGTGATGACTGAGAATAGCCTCCCTTGGCTGAAGATTACCTCCCCTGATTTTTCTGACCAGATATCTTTTGCCTCTGCTTACCATATCAGGGTCATTCCAGCCTCCTGGGCCAGCAAAAGCAGAGAAATTGCCCTCATCTTGACCATACCAGTCAACTATTTTTAGAACAGAGTCCCAGCCATCTTGGACGTCTACATAGTTCCTCCATTGGTTGCAGCTTGCTCGAATGGCAGCAAAATCTGGCTGCATGCATTACATATCAATGTCAACATTTTATAACTATTTGCTATGAAAAGCTCAGTTTACAAGAACTAGCTTGCTTTTTACTGTAAACTTTTAAGCTTAACTATCTTTTTTATGTATAAATGACACTTTTATACATGACTTAAGTTGGCTAATGTAAAAATATTATTACAAAGAGTTAACATTAGAATATCAAATCTGATATAAAATATAACCTTACAAAGAGTTAAAAGTTGAACAAAAAGGAGCTAACATGTTGCATTATGTGAAAAACAACCAGTCACCATACAAATACTGCATCACTACCAGAAAAACATTAAATCAATCTTATTACAACTTTAACATTACTTTCATGTTTATAAACACTTTCAATTATGCATACAATAATAACCTACTTGTTTTATAAATAAGCTTTATATAAAGGATGACTAACAATCTAAGTCAGTGCAGATTTTAATATTTAAAAAAAAAAAATTTAGGTTTGAGCAAATAATTTCAACCGATCAACTCTTGAACAATCCATGAACATTTTAACCTTTAACATTTTGTTTTGATTTAACTAGCTTTAGCATGTTCCACTCACATCTGTTTTATAGAAAAGTATAATAATTATTTTAAAAATGTCAATATCAGTGTATTTTCATATTCTATTGAATGTTTACAATTACATTCACTTACCATATGTTGTCAGTGTATAAATAGCTAAAGTTCACAGTGACTCACAGTCACATTAAACAATCAATAACTAATCTTTAGACCGGGGATTAACATGAGCTTGTCATTGTTAACAAGAAACATGCATTTGGTGATTGGTTGTGTTCCACGTAAAACATGTCCCAGTTAGCCTCTTTTAAAAGGATGCAATCATAAGCAGAAGAAGAGTACAAGCAACAGATAATGTTGCAGCTTTGAACACACCTTTAGGCCTACTCCAACTAGGTAGCCTGGCCACTGGCACAAAAACAAAATGGGGTGGCCAGTCATGTTGAGAAATCGCTCCATTATAGGGTAACCTGTTACGGTCATGACGAATAATTATTTTCTTTAATATCATAATTAAAAGCTTTATTAATCAGAGATAATTATATTTAAATATCTTAAGAAACCCAATAGAAAAAGCATAATAAAAATAACTAAATGGAACATGTGTGTAGATGGAGGATCAAATTTCATAGTTATGGAACATGTATAGTATGTTACAATCTTAAAAAACGATTGATATGATGATACTAATAGAGTTGAACCAATCAACAACTGATTTTTGAAGAGAATTCCTTTAGCTAATTATACACAGACAACGGTTGCTTATGCTTGCTATATGATAGCAAAACTGTAAGCATATTATAGGCACGCACTATGGGCTGCTTGTTGGACCACTGATAGAGTGGCCATTCACAGGAGAAGACTATTGGGAGTCCTGTCTTGTTCAAGAAGAACTGCATCACAGGGTAGCCTTAAAGTCAACAACACATCACAATCAATGTCAATCAAGCTAATATGCTTTCATTAGAAGCTATGAAACAAAAACTAAACCATCAAGCTTGCAAACTAACAGTTGCGGATTTTTTATTAGGTGTACCTAGCGCCTTAAAAAGTTAAATAATTTAGATCTGCCAGTGTAGAATATTTATAAACAATCGATAATGTTATTTTATTAATTTAAAGATTGTCAATTCAATTATCTAATTCTATTATTTTAAAAAAATGTGGGTAGCAATTAAAGTATTTCTTTTAAAAAATGTAGCCTAAAAAAAGAAAATGACTTAAAATGTAGATATATAGTAAGCTTATATTTCTTAAGATGCTAGACCTCACCATAAGGCATGTCATTAGGATCAGAGTAGCAGCCATCAAACTTGAGCATGTCTATATCCCACTCAGCAAATGTCTTTGCATCAGTTTCCATATAGTACTCACTGCCAGGGTACCCAGCACAGGTTTTGGAGCCAAAGTCTTCATAGATACCCAGCTTAAGACCTTTAGAGTGAATCTTGAAGCAGACATACATTGTGTTAGTCTCCAAGCCTTTAATTGACTACTATAAGGGTTCTTTATTATACACATTAAAAAAAAAACTTATACCACAGCAAATGGTAATCTGGACACAATAACATATTTATTTCCATTGATGTGTAGCAGATGTGGGATATTCATGAGCCCAAGAAACAACAGAAATAATGACCCATTACAAAAATAAACTATTTTTTGCTCTAGATGTGTGTGTGTGTGTAGTTCAGCCCCCCCCCCCCCCCCCCTCTCAGCCTGTTCAGCACACAGTGTGTATTATTCCAAATGTGTTCATTCATTCTTCCACATGTGTACTATCATTCTTTCAAATGTTGTCCACATTCATTCTCCCAAATGTAACCCTGCATTCAGCTACCGTGGATATTTTTTCAGCATATATAATTTATAAATAGCTCTACTGAAAAAAAGGTTGACCCTTGATGAATAAATATAACTGCTAAAATTATTTAAAATAAAAACACCACATAACTTACATATTTTGCTAAAGCTTTGATCCCACTAGGAAACCTTTTTCTATCAGCTACCAGCCTTCCATTGCTGTCCCTCTCCATTTCAGGCCAGCAATCATCAATGTTAACAAATTCATAACCTACATCTTTGAAACCCTCAGATACCATCAGGTCTGCCATTTTCATGTAAAGTCGTTCACTGAGAAATTTGTTACATTTTTTTAAATACTTAAAAAATGTACCAACTAAATTAGCTATTATTATGATTAAGGACAACATTTTATTGAATTACAATTATAATCAGGTCTAATCATACCTAACATTTAGATTTAAATAAGATATTGTAAACGGATTTAAGAAGTAAATGTATTATATTTACTATTCAAGAATACAGTCTATTGTGTTATATTTTTTTATTTCAAAAAGTGTGCCAAAAGATGATGTTTAAGAAGGAAAATATGCAATACTTATACACTATACAAATACAGCTAATGTTAAAATATGAAGAAAAAAATGCCAAAGGCTTAACAAGAAGGAAGTATAAAAGGATTAAGTTACCTGTCAGTTCAACGAGGAAGACAAAGTACATACAGGTAGAAAAAGAATATATTGACTGATATTTAATTACAGACATACATTTCTGACATAACAGAAGTAAAAAAAAATGAGTACCTGATGCAGTTGTCTGGGTCATTATCGCAGTCAACATTGCAACGGAACCTCTCCCATGACAGCCAGCCCATGGGTGGAGTTAGAGCTAAGCCATTATCCAGAGCTTGTGACAGGTGACAAGCCAACAGAAACACACAAACTACTTGCAGTAACATTTTCTGAAATAAAGTTTGTAATTTGTTTGTTAAACTGAATACCAAAAATTTGTATTTTATTTTCAAGCTTATTTACTTGAATTTGGTACTAAATACATCAAATAGACAAATACACAACCTACAGGGAATAGAAGTTACAAATATTTGATAGCTTGTTAACTTAATTTAGTATAAAAGACATTAAACTGTAATTGCATTAGTGAAAATATTTAATAAGAAAACACAAGGTCAATTGCAGCTTCAATTTAATCAGCCCATGTTAATTGAATGATAAGATAGTGATAAACACTATCAGTAAGAAATCACAAGCTGATAAATTATCAACCTTAAACTTAAGATAATTAGGAAAGGTCAAATTTATGTTAAGATGTAGTAATTAAGCATCTTTTATATAAAACTCAATGCTCTAATGTACTTTGAGAATTTATACAAATAATTAAATATTCTGATGAGGGATAAAATCATCTGGTCCACAGGGCACAAAATATCTGTTTTATAGTTCTGTCAGAAAAACAAGGACTGTGTGGTCAGCATGATGTCCAGCCATCTTTATGTTTCAAGTCTTAAAGTCAGGTAGCTAGGATGATTATTGGAATTAAGACCTGCAAACTTGCAGGTTATCTACTTTTCTAATCTACTACACTTTTACATAGAGTCAGCTGATTATACTTAGCTATTCTCTACCTTGAAGCATCTGTCTAAATTATAGTATCCTTTTTATAAGGCTAAAGGTATAATTTTAAAAAGCTGAGGTATCATTACTGTCAACAACACAATAATACTAGAGAAGATAATAAGTGAGCTTAAACAGATTAAGCTACTTCTTATTACAGGTTATAATTATTTTCTAGTGGGCATATGACAATGGACTATAAAGTAATTAGCCTGTAATTAACAACTGTTGGCCAAACAACTCTTCCAATAGATAGGGTAGTTGTGTTGCTTTGGCTCATGAACTCATTATAAAACACACATAAGACATTTTACCCTCCCACACCCCATACAAATACAATGTGTTATAAAATTAAATTGACCCTCCCCCCCCCCTCCCCCCCCCCCCCCCCACCCCCAATCGTCAATTATATTACTGATATTTATTTTTGTATACAAAAAAGGTAGATACTCCAAGAAATGCAGTCTACAACAGGTTGAGAGAGTTCAACATTGAAAAAGACTTTGAAATGTCACTGTTTTTGTTTCAAATTGATTCATAGAATTATATAAAGTACAGACAAGGCAGCATGGATGCTGAGCTGAGACTTGAGAGTAATCAACTATAGTTACTAATTATTATACTCAGTCAGTACTGTTGTCTGTGAGTGTGTAGTAGTAGTAGTACTATAAATAACTTTAGTGTACTGTGTAGTGTGTAGTCATAGTCTGCTGAGACTGACACGAAGTCGTGACTAAGCTAAGAAGTTTTTAGACTAGATCTAGAATTCTAGTAGACCCTTCTAGAATCTAGATCTAGTAGTTAAATTACTAAAATTAGTTAAGAATTTAGAAAATATAATATAGATCTAGATCTATATAGTTTAGAATTTTTAGAATAGGCCTACTCAGTATGAGATTTTTGCGAAACAAACGATTCTAAAATTCTAGATTCTAGTCTAAGATCGCTGAACTAAGAAGTAAGAATAGTCTGCTAGAAGAATCTCTAGATCTAGTCTCTACCCCATGTGAATTTTAAAAAATTAATAAGTGATGAATAATTTAAAAAAAAAATAAATAGAATCTATATTCTACACGTCTTCACTACTATTTAATTGTAAAAAATTGTTAGGCAGTATTTGGGAATGTTAATCTAGATAGTAGATAGCTAGATATATTTACCTGTTACTTGCTAAACCGGTCAATAAAATAAAAACAAATGTCTTGTGTAGTGCAGGCCTACCTGTGATCGTGTAAATATAGACCTAATGTCACATGATTTGGGAAAAAAGTCTAGCCGGTGACGACTGTATTTTAGGTATTGTAAATTTTTGGCATATATATATATATATATATATATATATATATATATATATATATATATATATATATATATATATATATATATATAGGGTGTTAATTAAGAGTTATATTATTGAAAATATAGTTAAAATAATTGTAAGAATTTAGAGCAGGCGTTTACTTGTTCTTCAAACGATGATATAACCAGTTTCGTTCAGGCATCTATTGGGAATGAGGGTAGTGTTTCTTCCAGGCATCACTTCCCCCGACGAAAGTCTACCCCGCCCCGCCCCCACCCCCCTCCCCGCCCCCGAACGAAATGGAATTTATATAGAAAACATATACTTTAACCAGTGTCCGCTCCCCCCCCCCCCCCCGAAAATATCAAGAGCCCCCCTCTCCGGCGAAAAAGTCTGGAAGGAACACTGAGTGAGGGGGGTGCATATAACATTAGTTACATTACAACATTTTGAAAAGAAAAAAAGGTGTAGTCATATTAAGTTGTTTCCACAATTATAAACGGCAAAAATGTATCAAATTACAGCATAAGAAAATCAATGTATTATGCTCTTACCACCACCCCACTTCATAAAACAATATTAATCACCACTATTCCAGTTGTGTTGTATGCTATCCCTAACAGGCTAAGAATCCGGAAATTGAAGTTGAAAATTAATTGCAGGAATAACAGCTAACATATTTATGGATGGTTCTGTCTTGCGCATACACCGTTCGCTTTGTCCTTTATCTGCACAAGATCTTGCTTTGTTAGCATTGTTGCTATGCATGAATGATGCTGGAAATAACAAAAGTGGTGTTAACTGTATGTGTGCTTGAATTGGTCATATTCTTCTTCTTCTTCTTCGGTCTCAGGATTTTTTTTATAGGGCCTAAAATACAAAAGGTCATGGTTAATGGACATGTTATTTGGTATGGTGTGGCAGGTCAGACATGTCATTATGTCATATGCTTACACTGTGCTAAAAGTTCGCCAAAACAAAACAAAACAAAAAACGAGCAACCCAGTGCAGCTTTCAAAAAAGTTGTGTGCAAACGCCTCCCCAACTCCAGCTCTTTATTTACAAAAGTTTAATTGTGTTTTAGGCCTAGTTATATGGGGATAAGCGATAAGGTGATGATACAGAACAATGTTATGTTGGGCCTACATATTTTTTTCAGGCATCTCTTGGGGGGAGGGGGGGGGGGCGGCTGAACGAAATACAATTTATATAGGAAATATATACTTTTACCAGTGTCCGCCCGTGCTCCCACCCCTCTTCCGAAGAAAAAAAAAATCTGAAGGAAACACCGCTTTTGAAGTTCATTATACAGCGGTACCTGAAATTAAAATATCTGTGATATGAACGTTCCTCAGAACGAATGAGCAGCGAAACGGTATGATAGGTTTCACTAGGTCTATTTGTCAATACCTTTAGTTTTTGGTTCATTTTTAACACAAAATAAAACTGTTTTACATGAAGTTGTAGACATGATTTTCTCTAAATCGATATGAATCCTGTATTTTATTTCTTAAATCACGGCTATGTCGTGCCAGATTGTGGCGTAGATTGTGCGCGCGCATGTCAGTGTATGTGTGTGTGTGTGTGCATGGGCGCGCGTACGTGCGTCCGAGCGTGTGTGCGCGTGCGTCCGTGCGTGCGTGTGTGTGTGTTTGATGCAAGTGATTGCCTAAAAATCTTTAGGGGTGGGTAAAATGAGTAAAAATGCAAATTTTTCTGTTGATTTCCTTACCTCCCGTCGCATATCTTCCCATATTTATTTCAGTAGGCTACAAGTCTTAACATAATAACAATTAAACATCACATTTGTGTTTTTGTTTTTCTTAGCCAATTCACTTAGTTTATAGTCTCGTAGAGGCGGGGGCATAGCACCTGTAACATATATATGTCAAACAACACAGCTCGCATAGTCTAGATACTTTATAATTATTTTTTTGGTTATTTAATTTAACTTGATCCTATGATTGTTTGAATAGTTAATGTCATGGACATTTTTGTAGTTAGTTCAAAACCTAGATTTATTTTTAAAGCTGCAATGTATAGGGCTGATCAGACAATCCTTAATGTCTAAAGTTAGGGTTTAGTGTTATCAAGGTAGACAAATAAGATTTTTTAAAAACCCAACAAATATAGAGGCCTCAACGCCTACTAAAATGAGTGCGGGTGCGCACTAAAAAAAATAAGCCGATATTTTAGATTTGATACTTTCATCCGTTAATTTAACTGCAGTTTATCATTTTATAGACCCACACGTCATTTTTTAGTATGTAACAAAAAGGACAGGTGTTCAATGAAAGACTGAACAGTGGAGCAACAGAAGGAATGGTCTTCAAAGGGAAGTCATGCAGTTTTTATGGGACGGCGTGGCCTAGCGGTAGAGCGAGTTAGAATCCTGGTTTAAGTGAGCTTATTTGGTACTTTCACTTGATATGGATGTTTTGATTGTATACTTTCATTAAGGTTTAATCTCTGACGTCGTGTGATGCACAAGACATATTACCGCATAAATGGCTGTATAAGACATATTACTGTATGTCTTGTTGTATAAGACAGATTACCGTATGTATGGTTGTACAAGACAGATTACCGCATGTCTGGTTGTATAAGACAGATTACCGTCTGTCTGGTTGTACAAGACAGATTACCGCATGTCTGGTTGTACAAGACAGATTACCGCATGTCTGGTTGTATAAGACAGATTACCGTATGTCTGGTTGTACAAGACAGATTACCGCATGTCTGGTTGTAGGCATAATATAGGCTATAATATATAGCCTATACGTTACCACATGTCCAGAAACAGATCTAGACTTAACTAATAGATCTATAAGTGTAATCTTTGCACATACGCATCAACGTACATTCTACTTTAATTTTTTAAACCATTTAAATAAAAATTTAAAGTTTAAAAAAAAAGTTTTTTCATATAAAGTTAACTTTTATCAATATTGCATCTCATACAGGTAAGAGATATCAATACTACGTTTATAATGGGTTCTTTCATTAGTACACCTTAGTCAGACATATCACCGCCTCCATAGTCTCCCATGTCGATAAGATCTTAGCATACTGGTTAAACTTTTTTTCGATAAATTATTTAAATTGCTCATTGCGCATGTCAGTAATGACAGTTGAGTATTTCGCATATAAAATACATCGGCTAACACATCTTATGAGTTAGGTCTCGGCTGTTCACAAAATCGATAAACGTCTTTCTAGGACTACACCTGAACCTGACCTACTTAACACGGCTGTATGCAGGATAGAGTTCCTGCTGTGAAACGTCCTGTTTGCGCAAAGTGGGAATGTCATCTTTATTTTTTTTAAAGCATTTATAGTAACAATTTTGTTGTTTTATACAATTTCAAAGACATGATCATAAATTAAATACATAATACTAGATGAACAATAATTTTTAATTGGGTTTTTTACCAGATAAAAAGGTTGGATTTAATACAGTTCACGATTGTTTAAGCTCTTTAAGTTTTAGTAGGTTGTCAGGCCTGTTTATGTAGCATACATAATGCATGTATTGGAGGATTAGGTCTATCTGATGATGTCGTTATAACCATACCTTCATATCAATACAAAGTGAACGAAAAACGTCCATAAGCTAAATGATCCCTAACTAGGTCTATATGTTGCATTTTGTATATTTCAGACAAACGATTTTTAATTTTTGACCTTACAAAATTGTCACGTATTTCTTAAACCGTAAGATATTGTATTTTCTAATTCCTCCATTAAGTAAAACTAGTTACGAGGTAGTTAGTATGTTAAGGGGGAGGGGAGGTAAACACCGCCGTAGACGGTGTAGACCCTCCGTAGTGACAGCTGTCTCGTATGGCTTTTAATGCTCTAGGCTTCAAAACAACCCATGTCATAAAAAACTAAAGTTTACAATATCACTATCAGCCCTCTCTCATATAACAAAATACTGGCTACGTCACTCAAAACAATAGAACATTATACAAAAACTATTGAACACATTTTCTTTGTAATGTAGTCTTTGAAAGTTTGTTTTTTGTGAGCCAAGATTTAATTTTTAGGCCTACTTATTTTTTTCACTCCTTTAATGCCTACAGTTAGTCTGCATGTAAGGAAAATATAATGTCTTTGCTAGGCTGTAGAAATTTTAAAAATTTAATGAATTAAGTAGCATCCGTTTATTATTAGCGATAATATAAATCTAATGGATTTAAGATTAAGGATTGAACGAATTTTCAACTAGAATATCTGTGGATCATCATTGAACAAATTTAAATTTTAGTTTTTGAGAGCGCCCCCCCCCCCCCTTTACTTTGTAAAACCAACTCCCGTCTACCTTAACAAACCGTCAACTCTGATCGAATTGTAATGGCAAAGCACGACCAATCTATACTTGTGATGGACGTGAGTGTTTTTCCCCCGTTTGGGCCATTGTGCAGCCGACATATTCATGAGTCAACATTAGCGGCTGGTCGATTAGCCATACACATAGTGCCGCTCGTACGCCGCACACATAGTGCCAATTTGCCGTACACATAGTGCCCATTAGCCGTGCACATAGTGCCCATTAGCTGTACATATAAAACCCATTAGCCGTACATATAAAGCCCATTAGCCGTACACATAGTGCCCGTAAGCCATACACATTGTGCCCATTAACCGTACATATAAAGCCCATTAGTCCTACGCATAGTGCCCATTAGTCCTACGCATAGTGCCCATTAGCCGTACATATAAAGCCCATTAGCCGTACATATAAAGCCCATTAGCCGTACATAGAAAGCCCATTAGCCGTACATATAAAGCCCATTAGCCGTACATATAACCCATTAGCCGTACATAGAAAGCCCATTAGCCGTACATATAAAGCCCATTAGCCGTACATATAAAGCCCTTTAGCCGTACATATAAAGCCCATTAGTCCTACGCATAGTGCCCATTAGCCCAGTACATAGTGC